TAGAAAGGACGTTTTGAAAAGATATGGAAGTTGGCCAAACATTTATAAAACCCGCATTTTTTGAAATTAGGGAGTTAACCACGTTTTTGATCTGCTAGCTATGCTGCAACTCCTTCACTTGCAAGATTAGCCGGTCGGTACATACACTGGTGTACATTTACAAGAAAACTGAAAATAAACTTCATCAGTTAATTTATCTTTATCCTAACCCAATCTGCCCATCTCGACACTACTAAAAGACAGGCCAAACCAATAGATTGTTTAACTGTATATATTGGTAGATTTTTGTAAAGATATTGGGTAACTTATTCACTTATTGGTTGGTTTGGTTAAGATATCTATGTTATTACAATACAGTAGATAAAATTCAGTTGACTGCAGTTGGTATGACGCTGAAACTGACCAACTAAATCATAACTTAGAGAGATCCAATTTATTTTTACACGGATAGTGTTTAAATGTATTCATTTGACAATAAGCACCAGAGCGTGGTTTTAACGGACCAACAAAGTTGCCTTGCCTTACTAAGAAAACATTTACATCGGCAGTATGATGCACTTGGAGTGTTTTAAATAGAAATAAGTGATATCGCTTCCTGTAAGATAAACATCCGAGGGTGATATCCTACTCATTGACCATTATAATATTGATTCCAATGGCACACTCAAAATTACTTGGACGGGCCTCGGTGATCGGACTGTCAACAAGAATCCTCCGTTACCCACGTCTGCACCTAACTGTTGCAAGCTGCGCATGCGCATACCGTAAATGTAATTAGACTGTGCCTAGCGGTCTAGGCTACATGGCCAGTCACGGTGCTAGCCTTGGGTCTTGGGTGCCTTCTACGAGGTGGAGAAAACAGAACTCTGGCCATAAACTGGGTTGGTTATTGGTTGGTTTGGTTATTGGTTATTGGAAACTTGCGATTTTGTTATTTGCTGTTAATCACTGTTAATAGTTCCAAACTGTACCCCGCTGTTCTGGATCAAATGGTCCCAAACGAGACACGTACACACCACGCACACTCATCTTCCATTCATAAATGAGGGGTTGAGAGGCCAAGGGAGATATGTGACTTTTTAAAAAATGTTGTCATGGTAACGGGTTTTGTTAAAAAAGGGTGGAATTTCAACAAACAATTCATTTATATCCCTTGGCCTCCAAACTAAACACCTAAGAGTTGGAAGCCAAGGGGTATAAGTGAATTTATTTTTATTTTTATTTTATTTTTTATGACTCTGAAAAAAATACAATGACATTTTTTAAAAAGTCACTTATCTCCCTTGGCCTCTCAACCCCTCAAATGAGTTTAAAAAGTAAATAAAAATACCTTAGCAGCGTCATTTTATGTAATTGATATTAGTTGGGACGTCAACATATCAAATTGACCTTTTTTTGGGGTGTATCGAAAATCAAGAATATTAAGCTTATTTAACGTAGGGTGAGCTTTGAAAACTCGATAATGGCGCATAAGCTATAACCTGTTATGGCTATCGCCATAATCAAACGTCATAGCTGAAAAATTAGAGATTGGACATTCATTGGGACACTGAAATGTTCATTCAGATGAACAAATTAGGCCTAAAACAATACGGTTACGGCAAGTAACTGAAGTGTAGCAAGTTGTCGATTCGTCTTCTCATTCTGTTTCTGTAACAACGGTCTGGGCAACGGAAATGTTTGTGGGAACGGCGGAAAACGGAACTCCTCACTCCGGTCTCAGGTCAATCGATTAGATCTGATCTGGTCAGCTGACTGTGTGGCCGACCTAATGAACAAACAAGCCTAGAATAGTTCTCACTGCACGGAACGGAGTTTTGGCAGCCGGTGTATTCGTCAGCCAAATCCTTCAGCAAGGAAAATCCGTATTATAGGTGTGGTAAAACAGAATGAGGAAAATTAGAAACATGTAAATAATTCGACTAGTTCAATACGTAAAAGCCGTGCATGTAGACTTCTTATAGTGCTTACAGTTGCTTAATAGAATGGCTGGTTCCATTATGGGTACATTGTTAGTGTTTCGAACTTGAGCACTTGAGCTTGATCATAAGAGGGCTGTTAATAAATGGGGCTGCCTAAAGAAACAGCCGATCAGTCAGTAACATGACTACAAAAATCATCTCTAGGTACCTCTTTACTATCTCGACTTTTATTCTTTACCTAACAAAAGATCTACTTTAGATAGTAACAAGATCAGGGTTTGAACCTATTTATTCACAATAAACTAAGTTAAGAATGCTAATGGCGTTGAAAACTCCACTTAAAAGAAGTATACAAAACGCAACAAAATAATTTTTTGATCAGATAGTATCCTGGGAAGGATGATATCCTCGAGGAAGCAGTAGAGAATAGAGATTATCTCCGTGGGACCACATCGAAGACCTGATAGCTGAGGATGTCCCCCAGCTTCGCCCCCCGATCCACGAGTGAAGAACACAACACGACAACGACGTCTACCAGGTAGCTGAGCTAGAGCTACCAAAGCTTAGACTCACAGCAGCTGATGAGTATATGCTCCAACAAGAAGCGGGAGCTCATTAATAAGTGATGCTAGTCACCACAGTCATCCACCTGCCACCAGGACAGTATACACAGAAGGAAGGCATACGGAAGAGATATAATCACCAAACTGCTTTCTCTGTTCCCACCGGACCGTAAGGCACCCCACACCGCCTCTTTCAGACGACCACTTTCATATTCATCCCCACTTTCTATTTATTTCTATACATGCCAATATTCTATACCATCATATCGCTATATCTTTATTCTGGGGATGTTAAGGTGTATTTCACCTGAATATGAATGAAACATTAGTACGTTATAAGTGAAGAGAGATAACTGGGTGTTAGTTTGTTATACTTACTGTACTATAATATCACTTTTGGATACTAAAGTAGACATCCTTTAGATCAGCTATAGCATATTTTTACTAAAATGTTTTTATTAGCTCGCTTTCTTGTCCGTTACAAATTTTTCAATCAATTTTAAGCTATCTTCCCGATTAGCTAGAGACTTTAAACTTGAAACATAGCTCACAAATGGATGACAAAGCAATACTATATCATTTTATTTTAATATTTCCCTTGAGCTTACAAATTTTCCCTGTTTACATTTTTGAAAGAATGTAAATATATCAATTGAAGTCAGCTGTAAATACTTAAATTTGACAGTTCGAAGAGCAGAGGTTAAGAGGACAGGTACAGGTTCTGCTCCCGAGATATTCTAAAATATAAATCATCTGATTACAGATAATACGGTTTTGGTTATGTATTAACAGACTATATAAAATAGATTTAACATATTTACACATTAAGGACTAAAAAGTAGAAAATAATTTATAAATAAAAATATTTTAAAAATTTTTACGTTTTTAAACGCATTAAAAAGTAAAAAATAATGTACAAATATGTAGAAAAACGTGGCATTTAATTTTTTTTATTTATTATTTATTTGTAAAAAATACCACAGTTGAAATTTCTACCTACAGAATGTGCTACATAGTCTTAATCTTACAATAGGTTTTCTTCCCTTTTTTTTGTTTCTAGACATTAGCATGATTTAACATAAAATATATGCAATTATTTTTTGCCTGCAATAAATCTTCCTGTCAGTTTGACTTGTGTGTTCAAAAGAAATCAGTTTATTTTTTTCTGGTCTGGCTCACCCTTTGATATTCTTGATACACGCTTTCCAACTCTTTTGATATTTTATAAGTCTTATATAATTAAAATGTCAAAAAAATTATCTAACTGCGCAGAGAAATTCGTGTATTATAGACCTACTTTGAATACATAGAAAGCTTGATATTTTGAATATTTACCACCTTTTAATCAGGGCCGATTTACCGAATAGGTACGGTAGACACGTGCCTAGGACACGAGGCAATTGGGTTTTTTTTTTTTTTTGGGGGGGGGGGCAAAAATTGGAAAATAAACAAAATGGTGGTTGTATTTTCATACGATTGCGGTAAACTTCTGGTAATCCCTCACGGCCATGTGGTCATCGTAATCGTCTCCCGCGATTGCGGGAAAAAAATAATCATATCCCGCAGTCATGTGAAGATCATCATCGTCTTCTCCGATAAAATTCTGATCATCCCTCGTGGCCGTGAATACATCATTATATCGTCTCTCGCGGTCGTGTAGACATAATAATCGTCTCCCGCGATCGCGGCAAAATGGTTATCATCTCCTGCGGTCGTGTCGACCTTGCGCAATAACGGTAAAATTCTGATCATCCCTCGCGGCCGTGAAGACATAATTATATCTATATCGTCCCCTGCGGAGCATCATGGAAGTAGTTTCGTCAATCTCATCTGTGTTTGGTAGTGATTGTTATTTTTAGTGTCTTGCTCAGGGGCTTCACTTATCTCAACATTGGCTAGAAGGCATGTTGAAACAGTAGATTCTCTTATCTGAATGTCTGATATATGGGTGTATTCAGGATTTCCTTACAAGAGTGTGTCACTTCTTCTAAAAGAATTTAAAAAAAGTATTAAAAAGTATAAAAGTGCTAACAGGTCGAATTTAGAAGGCCGGTTGAATTTACGTAGGAGAAACTGTATCTGGTCTAAAAAAATGAAAATCTATTTTTGGAATTTAAAGTGGAGTCAATTAATATTTTCATAGATCTTGCCACTTCGAAGGCCGCGGCCAGGAGCTAAAGGTGGCCGTGCCAATAGCGGCTTGTATATCTATACGGGATTATCTCAGCGATTGCTGACTGGCGGAGCTTTTGGACTAAAGCAATGATAAATCACAATATCAAAAGTTAACGAACTAAAATCAAAATATGCAAAGAAGCAATAAAATGGACGATCTTTTTCAAGAAATGTTGTCTCTACAGCTGCATGGTTAAACACTTTAGTTGGTTTGTTTTGGAAAAGCTAAAAAAGTCCCTTGTCTGAGTCCTGAGTCTGGATTGGACTGGAATTCTTGTAGACTAGACGACTAGACTAGACTCAGACTGTGACTGTGTTAGTTTGACTACTGTTAGTTCAAGTTGTTGGTTTCTGTTGTCATGTTGATTAGTTGTCAGGTATTTTAGAGGTTAGGTATCTGTAACAGACAGGTCAATAAAAGTACGTAGGACTAGGCCTACTATTACTAACATAAGTTAAGTAATTTTTTTACATATTTTCATCGACTTTCATATGAAATGACTGTGTCCAAAATGGGGAAATCTAGATTAGAAATCAATTTTCGTCGTTTGCTCTCCAGATGCGAATTAATGGCCAAAGACAATCCTTCTGATGACTGGAGACTTGAAACGGTAAGCCTTTGCATTAAATTTACACATAACAAACACTGTTCTGCTCCTAGTGATTGGTATTTAAATTCATTTAAGTTAAGTTCACTTAAGTTGAACCTTTTTGCGCTATTGTTGTGTTAAGGCTGGTCCACATGCAAGGATTTCTCGTGTACGTTTTACCTCCGCAGATAAAACGTTGCAGTCAAGTTGTTGCGTGTGGACAGCAAAACTGTGCATTTTTCAGAACTGCGCGGAGACGGACGACGGAGCGATAAAACTGTTGAGGAGAGCATAGGTAGTTTTGACAACGTTTTCAGACAAGTCGTTGCGCGTGTACACTGTCATCAGTTTCAACTCCGTCTTCACGCATAAAACCCCAGTATGCAGTGTTGTCTTCACGTGCTGTCAGAGGTATAGGTGTGTTTTTTTATTACGATGGCAGATCTTCGCCAATGTTCCCATGATTTTATTATTGAATTCATCAAACTGTACAGAAGTTTTCCTTATTTATGGAGGGTCAAGAGTAAGGAACATAGTGACTGTGATAAGAAAAAAGACTTTGAGACTTTTGAAAAAAACAAAGCAGTAAATTCGAACGTGAACAGAGAAACTTTTTTGAAATTGGTTGTCATTTTAGTAGGCCTAGCCAACATGTTGACAATAGTGAGCGCCGTCGTCGCTTAGACTTTTCTTTGCTTTCTTGTAACACTGGGTGCAGAAATCGACCACAGTAACACATCTTCCATGATATTACATGCACATACACTGAAAGTTATCACAAAACTTCATTAAAAGTTGGTGCTGAAACCTGTACTGTGTGGACCCATTTCTTTGGAACGACTTGACTGCAACGCTTTACCTGCACAGATAAAACGTTCGCGAAATCCTTGCGTGTGGACTCGCCTTTAAACAAATCCATGTAGGCTAAGTTAACTTACAGCGGGAAATATTTGTGCAACACAAGACCTGGCATGGATAAGGAAGGAGTAACTGGAGACGGGCAACTGTTCCGTGCATACAAGCCGATCAAAATATATTCCAAACCTCTGCCCAGTCTACAGTCCACTCAGCACTCGGCACCTGCAAATATTGCTTGCCGCATAAACTAATTATTTGTTTCAGAATATAATTATTTGTGTATATTGAAACTGAGTACAACTTTTAAAAGCTGGACTCCCTGTTTAGTACACATATATGGCTTTACGTAAACTTAACATAGTACCATACCAGTTCACTTCGATACTTGCTTAGGGTATGCCTAGGTATTTAAACATCCAGACACATTCTCAGATGCATGTGAACAGACTTCCTTACAAGATGTAATTTGACTAGCCTACTTGTAACTTTTTTTGCTATTGAAATTTGTGGTGGGCTTAAATTTCTTTTTCTCTCAACTACTTCATCTCCCTCCTCAAATTCATCTCAGGGCTTCAACCCCCCTTTTACTGCACTTTTTATTATCTGGGGAAACAAATTCAACCGAAAACACTACAATTACACTGCTTATTTAAATTCATTGTGAATCTATAAAAATAACAACAATGATACACGATCTACACTGATAGAACGGAGCGATTTACAGTATTTGTATTATATATGCTAAGTCCGGCTCTTTTACAACTAGGCCTATAATCAGGGCCGATTTACCGAATAGGCACGGCAGGCACGTGCCTAGGGCGCAAGGCAATTGTTTTTTGGGGGGCGCCAAAAATTTGGAAAATGAAAAAAATTGGTGGTTGTTTGCATGCGATTGCGGTAAACTTCTGATAATCCCTCGGGGCCGTGTAGACATCGTAATCGTCTTCCGCATTTGTGGCGAGATTCTTACTATTTTCAGTGGTCAGGTCGTTTAGACATAATTATCGTCTTCCATGATCGAAGCAATATATGAGCATATCCCGCAGTCGTGAGGAGATTATCATCGTCTACCGCGAACGGGGCAAAATTCTGATTTTTTCCCGCGGTCATGTGGACATTATCATTGTCTTGTGCGATCGTGGCATAATTCCGATCGTCCCTCGCGGCCGAGTAAATCTTTATTGTATCTCCCGCGGTCCTGTAGACATCGTAACCGTCTCCCGCGGTCGTGTATACATGGTAATCGTCTCCCGCGATTGCAGCAAAATGTTAATCATGTTCCGCAGTTGTGTGGAGATTATCATCGTCTTCCGCGATCACGGTAAAATTCTTGCTGTTTCGCGCGGTTGTGTGGACATTATCATCGTCTTCCGTGATCGTGGCAATATTCTGAATATCTCGCGGCCGAGTGTAGACATAACTTATTATCGTCTCCCGCGGTCACGGAAACTGTTGTCATGCGCGATCACGGTAATTTGAAAACTCCAGGTAGAAATACAAAATTCACACATAATTCCCGGTTCATAAAATTCCCGCATGATTCCCGGATTTCCCGGTCGGTGGTCACCCTTATATATATATTGCAAAGGGGCGCTACTATTAGTTGTGCCTAGGGCGCTAACAGGGTCAAAAACGGGCCTGCCTATAATAGGTTTAAGATAAGTTTGATTACTGGTAGGCTTACCTAAATAAGTACATAATCATAATGTATGGGTTTCAGTTCATTGCAAACTTGGAAGAAATGTTAAGTGAAATGGACAAATCTCCAAAGTAAGTACCTACTTATTTGACCAAAAGTTGTAATAAATATGAAATTTTAGTTGTAATAAATATGAAGTTAGTCTAGAACTGTAGGGCCTACATTTCTCTTTGTAGTAATTGTTTAAACATGTAAACATTGTAAACTAAGTTGATCCCTGAGGAGAAAGAAATCTAATTCACTATCTTAATGGTGTGTAACATCATTAAGTTTTGAGTTTAAAGCTTATGATGTAGGAATACAGTCTTAATATTGCTTGCAGATAAATTTATATTACTCAATCAAGTCTTGTATGGTCACCAATGATTTTATCCTAATGAAGAAAGAATTCACTCCTTAAGATTGGTTCTTGGAATATATCTCTTACATGTAAGCTAATATCTTTATTTTCTTTGTGCCTTTTCTTTCAGCCAAAACAAGTGTAGCATATGTTACCTTCAAACACAAGTTTTTATAGAGTCACTGATATTTACATTTAACAGGATCAACATTTAGATTTGAAATGAAATCTTTCATTTAATTTAATTTAGATTTCTTTCTGTTCATTATGAACTTGTTCGAGAAAAGGTTCAAGAACAAAATGGGACATTCTCTATGCTTTCAGGTTAGCAGGGTTGCTGTGACATGGGTATTTTATTGTTTTAGTTCAATTATTGATTTCAAAGATGTTTTAAAAATGCTGGAACTGTCTCAAAAGTAGTGTAGAGACGCCAGTATTAAAACATATGAAACATGCTGGTAGGAAACATGAAAATTAATCATTATGTAAAGTTAGATTTTAAACAATCATACCTATGTTTACAGTGCTCCAAATAAGGAGACATTATCCAGTTATGTAAGAAGATTAGAGTTCCTCAAAGGCCTCATGGACACAAACACTATCGTAAGTTTAGTCTTGTCATTTAAAAATAAAGTAGGTAGGCTACATAAATCACACGGGTCCGTATTTCCCATTTGGTACTGTAGGCATAACACCTTAGATAGATCTACGTTGTTTGAAGCTCATTTTAGGTGGTGGTCAGTTTGCACAATCTAACAGATTATGGACATTTTCCATCACAATTAGTAAAGAACCTCAAAAAACTTTATGAAACCTTAATTTTTTACTAACCGTGATGGCTGATGTGACCTACAAGAATCTTTATGATCCAGGCAGTGCTGCTGGCTGATGTGACCTACAAGAATCTTTATGATCCAGGCAGTGCTGCTACCTTTGGGTGTTTCAGTGAACTACGAAAACTCTCGTGGTAACACAGCACAATAAAAAAATATGGCACAATTACCACTGCTCTTTACTGATTCGTCTGTTTGAAATTTTTGAATGCCAATTGCGTTTGCTGATTCGGTTGCGCGCGGGGGCTTTGCCCACCAATTCTATTGGCAAGCACCCGTTTTTATCTAGATTTCATTTAAAAACAATTCAGGCAAATGGAAATGTGCTTAGTCTGCAGGTTTGCTGCGGCAGGGGTATTTTCATTTATTTTCGTCCCACCTTTACATATTTTAGAACGTAGGCCAAAGACCTGAACTGTTTTAGACAATATTTCAGGTAGTGGTGGCCCTAGTTGCAGGGCCCAGAGCGAAGTTCAATAGCGGGCCTCTCTTAATACGTATTTCAGGTATTAAGAGAGGCCCGCTGCACGGGCCCCTGAAAAATTTTGGGCTCCAGGCGACGCCTTGTTCGCCTACATGTGCGTTTCTGACTTCTGGCTAGGTAGAGAGAGGCTTTCATAAATTCAACACAAAATCCATTTGGTGATTGGCAGGATTTGAACCCAGGACCTTAGGGACCAGAAGACCCAAGCTCTACCTCTAGACCAGCTCGCTCCCATATATAAGGAATAAATATAAACTAATTCTTAGAACATTTAGCCGTAAGAATAGGAAGTGCGACTTTATGTAGAAAAATTAAATTTGTTTTTACAGACTAACCCTATTGAGAAGGTGTTTGCAGCTCAGCATCTGAACCCCAGTCCTGATAGTGTATCAAAGGAAACTCACCAGAAAACTGTCACAAAATACACTAGGGAATTAAGAGATGAACTCTTTGGTGACTCAGGTATGTAGACTATAGTATATTTCATCCCTAGGGCATGTAGTGACTCTTTTCAACAAAGCAAAGCTGAGGTTGAAAAATCGTCAAGTGTAATAAAACTCTTGAGTATTTTTTATCCAAAGGGATAAAAGATAAAAATTTGTTACTTTTTTAGACCTGCATTAAATAGCTCAGTGACAATTACTTTTCTGGTGGAATTTTCACAATGGCGTTGTTATTTTAGTTATTACTGGCTATATAAAGTTATTTTAATATATTTGCTGACTATTTAGATTGTAAACTTTTAAGACTTATCATTATATTTCTGTTTTCGGTGTCAAAAAATTATTATTTTTCTGTATCAATTTTTATTGAACAAATTGGTTTACAAGTCAAGCGGGTTTTATGTAAATATATATAAAATGCCAATTATTACGGTAATGTGGTTGGAATATAATTAAATTCAAATATTATGGAGTATAAAATGTAATTTGTATTTTTTTCATTTACAATACAATCAATAGAATGCAATTTTTTACTCTGTGAGAAGCGAAGGTCATTTATAACACTGATTTACAATATTCAAGTGACGCTTTGTGCAATCTACGGAGGCAGGAAGCAGTTGTCGCTCCAAGAAAAACGCACCTTTACAATGTAGCAGGCTAACATTGTAAACCGAGGATAATATAGAGTGCATTAAAAATAGATGTCTTCATTACAACCAAATTTGACTAGGCTTTACACACATCTCCAGGTTTATCTTGAAATATATGGTGATGTACATTTAACATTCAATCTAAAAAGGGGATGCCAGGTTTAGAGGTGTAATCATAGCCCCTACGGACGCAGACTCTGTTAGTTGACAAAAGAGCTTCATTTGAAGCAAACATAATTGGTGTTTCGGGATTTCTATCTTTGTATTCATTAGTTATTGTTACATTTTCAAATAATAAGTAAATTAGTTCAGTTGAATCAAACTCATACTTTTATGTAAACAGAAAAACTGATACAAACAAAACAAATGCAAAATAACTGTTAAGGCCAGATTTATTTCAGTTTCAAAACCATTTTATTTTATTTTAATCCCCTTTGCTTGACCAGAATAATTTCATTTTATTTCCCCAATACCTACAGCCAGTTTACCTATCCATCCTATAACCAGTATTCAAATTTGCCGCCATACCCCACTACCTCAAATCAAGAGTCACCTGGGAAGACCACTGGGTCACATGACCTCACTTCTTCAATATGGCTGGAACAACAGGAATCTACAGTATGAGGTACTCCTAATTTTAGCAATTCCTTTTAGTTTCGCCACCTCCTACTCATTTTAATCATTCCTAATCGCTTTATTATCATGGTCCTTCGAGTCTGATTCATAAATTTTCCTATTATTCCTGTTTTTTACTTCAAAAATTAGCAAATTCAAATCTGGCCTAGCTTTACATTCACTTGCTTATTTGAAGACTATTTGAAGAAGTATTTTAGTTATCAGCAGTTTTATTATCATTTTTAATCAATTTGCAATCAATTTCCACCAATTAAAATAGTTTACATCAAGATTTATTAGTTTTTTGGCAATTTGATTCACATGTGCAAGATTGCAGGATAATTCAGGAGTTTTGTCAGGATTGCAACCTGAGGGGAAAGTTCCCTGGAATTACCCACCAAGATTCCCCACAATTACCCCACAGTGTGGGAAATTTCCCCTGAAATATCCCTTTTGGGTAAAACTAAAGAAGAAATTTCCCAGATATGAAGAATTTATGCTGATTTATTTAAGTTGCTAAGAATTATTCTTTTTAAAATATTTGTTTGATACTGACTGTTTATTTTCACCATTTTGCATAAATATTGAAGAGTCTGGCACTTACAATAATTATTGTCACTGGTTGGTTTATTGTAAACAGAGATTGCCACTTTAATAATTTTACAATTACATGCAGATTAAGAAGACTATTTATCAAGACAACATAATTGAATTTTTCTGCAATACTTAACAAATTATTTTAATTGAATTATCATACTCTCAGTCAAGTGGTAACTTATAAATATTTGTTGTGGAGTTTTTTGAGTTTCTACAGATCTAGGCGATTTGTAAATGACAATAAATAGCATTTACAATGGCAGATGCCAAACTAAAGAGAGATATTGATCTTCTGATTTATAAAAGAGATAATATTGTTCAAAAAATTGAGTTTTTGCACAATCAAGCTGAAACTTTGTCTATAGAGGCTAGCCCAATTGAATTATCAGAGTTCAAAGTTCGTTGTGATCGTCTCCCTGCCCACTATGAAAGTTTTGAGCGTTACCAATCTGACATAGTGAAAGGTTATGTCCAGCTCAAAGATACTTCTCAGCTGGAGGGAATTCTTGCAAAAAATAAGGTTGTAGATGAGAAATATTTTTTTATTCTTGCTACCAAAGACAAGTTTCTTTCACCTCTTGTTAGACAGGAAAATGTTGAAAATGTTAAGCCTATCGCCTCCACAGCTGTTAGACTCCCAAAAATCAATCTACCCACATTCGAGGGAGTTTTGAAAGACTGGCCTCATTACAAGGACCTTTTTCTTGCTCTTGTTCACAATAATGTATCGTTATCCCCTGTAGAAAAACTTCATTTTTTACTTTCAAGTACAAAGGGTGAACCACATACCTTGGTAAAAGGCATTCCCATTTGTTCTGACAACTATGAACTTGTTTGGACACAGTTAAATGAGAGATATGATAACAAAAGGTTGTTAGCAGCCAATTACATTGATGAAATTTTAAGTCTTACCCCCATCCATTTCGAGTCTCCTAAGCCATTAAGAACTCTACTGGACACACTAAATGAGAATACTTCAGCCTTAAAGCAAATGGAGATACCTGACAGCTTAGGTGAATTTATTATTCTGCACGTAGCTCTGAAAACCGTGGACAGGCATACAAGACAGTTATTCGAACGCAAGTTCTCTAATAGGGAATATCCCTCCTTGTCCGATTTCATTGAATTTCTAAAGGAACACTGCAAGTCACTCGAAGCTGCAGGTGAGACACAACCTAACCTAAAGTTTGGACAGTATAAGGTAGGTTACAAAAATGCTCCAAACAAGACTACCTTTGCAAGTGCCCCGACCAAAAGGGTATTTGTTGTCAATAGCCCTACTACCAATCAATCTAAACCGCCAGTGACTTGTATTTCATGTGGTAGCCAAGAACATAACATTTATCGTTGCCAATCTTACTTAAATTTGTCTCCAACCCAAAGAAGAGATCTAATCAAATCCAAGGAAGCATGTTTTAACTGTTTAAGCATATCTCATATGTTAAGCAAATGTCGTTCATCCCGCACATGTTTCAAATGTAGAAAATCACATCACACAACGCTTCATGTTTCTTATCCAGAATCTGATTCTTTGGTTAAGGCTACGCCGACATCAACTTCTAAGCAAGAAGAAAAATTATCCCCTGCTCCTACCTCTGCATTTACCTGCATTAGGCCTACATGTGATTCAAGCCCGAAAGACGAAACTTACTTTAAGCCTACAACCATTCTCTTAGGTACTGCCATTGTTCGCATTCTAGATGTTTGTGGTAATCCTCAACAGGTTAGAGCATTAATTGATGCTGGTAGCCAAAGTTCCTTCATTACTGAATCATGTGTCAGTCAGTTGTGTTTACCGAGACGGAAAGTTGTTCAACCAATTTTAGGATTGTCTGAAGTGTCTGTTTCCAGCAACAAAGGACTAGTACCCTGTGTAATCAAGCCTTTGCATCAAGATAACCCTTCACTGAGAACGGAAGCCATTGTTTTAAATCGAATCACTTCACCGCTACCTTCTACTGCTCTTGATGATAAGGTTAAAATGTTATTTCAAGGTTGGGATTTGGCCGATCCGGAGTTTTACCGACCTGGAAGGATTGATCTTCTTATTGGTGCTGATTTGTTCCCACAGCTTTTTGACGGTGGGCGGCGTGATACGCCATCTGGATTCCCTACTGCCTTTCACACCATTTTTGGATGGTTGCTCATCGGTGAATCACGTTTGCCAATTCCAACGACTCAGTCCGTTTCTGTTAATTTAGCTATATTAGACCAAGTATCACTGGAGTCGAATCTGCGCAAGTTCTGGGAAATTGAAGAACCCCCGATGAATCATTGCCAAACTAGCCCAGAAGATGAACGATGTGAGTCAATCTACTCGTCAACAGTTCAAAGAGATTCAGCTGGTCGTTTTGTTGTTGACCTGCCCTTTAAAAATGATTGTCCCGACCTTGGTGAGTCGTACAGCAGAGCTAAGCATTGTTTTTTATCTCTGGAAAGAAAATTCAATCAAAATCCTGATCTAAAGGGAGCCTACTCAACATTCATGAACGAATATAGAGATTTGGGTCATATGTCCAAGGTTGTAAACTCTGTAACACCAGCTTACTACATCCCGCATCACGGAATCTTCAAGAAAAACTCCTCTTCGTCAAAACTACGAGTAGTATTTAATGCATCAGCTCCAACCTCAACTGGAAAATCACTAAATGATGAATTGTTAATAGGTCCGAAGCTTCAGACTGACATTTGTAAAATTCTTTCGCTTTTTCGCCTTCACTTGTATGTATTTACAACCGACATTGAGAAAATGTATCGTCAAATACTTGTCAACCCGCGACATAAGTCTTTTCAAGCAATTTTGTGGAGAGATAGCCCAGAGAAACCTATGTCTACCTTTCTTCTCAACACAGTAACCTACGGTGTATCAAGTTCGCCATTCTTAGCCTTGCGTTCTTTAAGACAGCTGGCTTTGGAAGACTCCGAAAAATATCCTCTTGCAAGTGAGGTTATTTTAAACTCAATGTTTGTCGATGATGTCCTTACAGGAGGTGACTCACTTGATCACACCGTGAAAATAAAATCTGAACTAATCAGTCTCTTAGATTCTGGTGGATTTAAACTTAGGAAATGGTCCAGCAACAATCATAAAATATTAGAAGATGTTCCATCTCATGATCAAGAATTCATTTTTGGAGACGAAAGCTCTGCCGATCCCTCTATCAAAGTCTTAGGCCTTAAATGGAATCCAAATTCAGACAAGTTTTCTTACGATGTTCACATAGGACAACCACCTTCTACCAAACGTGGCCTATTGTCTCAAGTATCCAAGGTCTATGACCCGCTTGGGTTAATTACACCTGTAGTCCTTTGGGCAAAATGTTTGATCCAAAAAATTTGGACTCTGGGACTCGACTGGGATCAACCGCTGCCAATTGATATTGTTCGTCAGTCTTCCAAGTTTTTTGAAACTCTTCCTCATCTCAGCAATTTAACCATTCCCCGACTGGTTCTGCTTCCAGAAACCACTGACGTTCAGCTCCATGGATTTTCGGATGCCTCGGAAGTTGGCTACGGATGTGCTATCTACTTAAGAGTTGTTAATTCTGATGGAAAACCTCTTACCAACCTTATCATGGCAAAATCCAAAGTTGCACCCTTAAAGAAAATTTCAATTCCTCGCTTAGAGTTGTGTGGAGCAGTTTTACTTAGTAAAACAATGTTTTTTTGTAAAAACATGTTAGCCTACAAATTTGGAAATATACCCACTTTCGCCTGGACCGACTCTCTAGTAACGCTACACTGGATCCGCACCGCACCTCATCAGCTCAAGACTTTTGTGGCTAACCGGGTCGCTGAACTCCAGACATTGCTCGAACCCGCTTGCTGGCGACATACACCGACAGATACCAATCCTGCTGATTACGCATCAAGAGGCCTACTACCCCATGAAATCTTAAGAAATTCCCTATGGTGGATTGGACCTAATTGGCTCATGGAGGAACCAATGTCTTGGCCAACTCAACCTTTACCTGCTCTAACACCCAACGAGTCACTGCTTGAGTTTCGCCCATCTGCGACATGTGCACTAGTTGCCGCCAAAGACACAAAGAATGAGTTCACTGCCTTAGTTGACAAACATTCACAGTTCACCAAACTACAATCTTGTATTGGATGGATATTAAGGTTCATACATAATTGCCAAAAGAAGAAAGAGAAGATTACTGAACCATTTCTTACTTCTAAGGAACGTGCATCAGCCCTACACCTACTTGTGAAACTAACTCAATCAAGTTACTTACCTGATCACATTGATAAACTTGCCACTGATCAGACATGTCCTAGTCTTCAGCGGTTAAGTCCATTTTTAGATGAACAAGGACTCATTCGTGTGGGTGGACGTTTGAAAAATTCCCAGCTACCATACAATGCTAAATTTCCTATGTTGTTGCCAAAACAATGTCACTTAACCAACCTACTTATAGACCACTACCATCTCAAGCACTTGCATGTAGGCCCAAGAACCTTGCAGTCACTACTGTCTCAACAGTTTTGGATTATTTCAGCTAGGCAAGTCATCCGTCATCGATTATCCAAGTGCCTAGTTTGTGTTAAAATGAAAGCTAACTCCATTCAACCATACATGGGTAACTTACCTGGCTCACGAATTACGCAAAGCCGCCCTTTTCTCCATGTAGGCATTGATTTTGGTGGACCCTTTACCACAAAAACGGACAAGTTGCGCAAACCACAGTTACTGAAGAGCTATGTATGTTTGTTCATATGTTTTAGTACAAAAGCAATCCATCTCGAGTCAGTCTCGTCTCTCTCTACGGAAGCATTCTTAGCTTGTTTTGATCGATTCGTCTCAAGAAGAGGTCTTTGTGCACATATCTACTCAGACCAAGCAACTAACTTCGTGGGAGCAGATCGAGAACTCCAAGAACTTCACAGTCTACTTCACAAGACTCCAACTTCAGATGCCGTTCTTTCAAAACTCGCCCAGATGGGAATCAGCTGGCACTTCAACCCACCTGCTGCACCACATTTTGGCGGACTATGGGACAGTGGAATCAAGTCCATGAAGTATCACTTAAAACGAGTTGTTGGAAATCAGATTCTAACTTTTGAAGAGTTCTCAACATTATTGACAAAGGTCGAAGCAGTCCTCAATTCTAGGCCTCTGTGTAGTCTTTCAACTGATCCCAACGAGTATGAGACTCTAACCCCTGGACATTTTCTCATAGGAGAGCCTTTGGTAGCTATCCCCCAGACTGATTTAACAAACCTTCCACAGAATCGTCTTTCTCGCTGGCAAATGATCCAACAGGCACAACGATCCTTTTGGAAAGTATGGAGTCAAGATTACTTGCATCAGTTACAACAGCGATACAAATGGACACGTAATTCACCCAATTTGAAAATCAATGACTTAGTCCTAATAAAGGACAAAAACCTTCCCCCTTTGAAGTGGACTACAGCTCGTGTCATCCAGACACACCCAGGGAAAGATGGCATCGTCCGAGTCGCCACTCTGAAGACACCAGCTGGACAACTTCAGCGACCAGTCGTGCAGCTGTGTCCCCTTCCTCAAGAGAATTAATTCGTTTTTATTTGCCAAGAAGATGTTTTTCGTTGTGTTTTTTTCCTTTTCAAGAAATTTTGAGTTATTTACATAGAACTATGAGACATAAATTTTGTGTGAAAAAGACTAAATCTTTTTGGTGGGCGGAAATGTTAAGGCCAGATTTATTTCAGTTTCAAAACCATTTTATTTTATTTTAATCCCCTTTGCTTGACCAGAATAATTTCATTTTATTTCCCCAATACCTACAGCCAGTTTACCTATCCATCCTATAACCAGTATTCAAATTTGCCGCCATACCCCACTACCTCAAATCAAGAGTCACCTGGGAAGACCACTGGGTCACATGACCTCACTTCTTCAATATGGCTGGAACAACAGGAATCTACAGTATGAGGTACTCCTAATTTTAGCAATTCCTTTTAGTTTCGCCACCTCCTACTCATTTTAATCATTCCTAATCGCTTTATTATCAATAACAGGTGATCATTAATTCACATACACATATGGTCTAAAGTCAGTACATCAGTTAAACACATCAATTCTCCCCTCTGAAATGTTTTGGTAACGTTATTTCGCATTTGAGTAGTTGGTCAACATGACGCCGCCAGACAGTTCCATCGTCCATTTGTACTTTATACAGAAGGTTGCTTTCCTTTGCAATATTCTTCCAAAACTCCACTTGTCTTTTGAGTTTAACATTCACCTCAGTCACTGTAAGACTACCTTGAGACTGGAATCAGAAGAACATCGGATCATGCTAACGTAGATTTTTTATCTCGGTTCCCAACTGAGCATGCTTCAACTAAAGGCAGGGACAACTGTGACCTTTTTCAACTTAGTCAACTCGATTCTTTTCAAATTAGTAGTTCCACAATTTCTAAGTCAACAGCCCACGACAAAGACCTTCAACCAATACTACATGCACTTGAACAAGGTGAATCAGTGGAAGGTTTTGGGTACCATGACAATGAATTAACACTTCAAGACGGATGTATATTCAAAGGATGTCGAGTTCTAATACCACAATCCCTTCGTCGGAAGGTTCTTGATGAACTTCATATCGGACATTTAGGTATGGAGAAAATGAAATCCCATCCTCGTCGCCAATGTTACATTTTCAAATAATAAGTAAATTAGTTCAGTTGAATCAAACTCATACTTTTATGTAAACAGAAAAACTGATACAAACAAAACAAATGCAAAATAACAGGTGATCATTAATTCACATACACATATGGTCTAAAGTCAGTACATCAGTTAAACACATCAGTTATTTGTGTAACTAGTGAGCAAAGTGGCACTTTGCTGCACACGAGAGCAACGTTTACTCGCCTGCGGCTTATGCGGAATGATCTCGAGTGCAGCAAAGGCCTTTTGTACTCGTGTTACACATTATATTTTTTCTACAGTCACTATAAAGCATATAAATAATTAGTCTTTCAAACACTATACAACATGTTTTTATGTTCAGCTGGCAACACACAGCTGAACACTTGAGCTGGGCACTTGAGGTGCCCTAGAGAAAGTAGGCCTGGTCCGTATCACTCCGCTATTTTTTCCTCAGCAAGCAATGTGCTCCGCGACTTGAGAAAATAGTTCCGTATATTTTTGTAATTTGCAGTGGTTTCCGTGCCTAAAAAAATGCTTTAAAGGTATTTTCTTGTTTATTAAGATCGTAGGAATGTTTTAAAAACGTTTAACAGAAAAGTCCAGAAAGTTCAGAAATACCGAAAAGAGAACATAATTTATAAACACGAAATGACAGGTTATATCGTAGTTATAATAGTCAATCAGCTGCTCATAGTATTATTATCTTTAAGTGTTGCCAATCTATTTCCAAGCGTACACGGATTTGCGTACACGGATGTGCATAATAGAACCACGCTGTTTTGTGTTGTTTCGTTGGAATCCTGATGTGCACCAAAGTATAAACTGTACGAAAAAGTATAAACCGTACGACAAAGTATAAATATGCAGCAATTAGCAGCTTTCTGTACTATAAACAGTACAAGGAAGCCAACTTTGTCGGGTGACTGTAGGAAAAATACTTTGAAAGATTTACACTTTTGAAGACTTTTTCAACCAAAAACGTCTTTGTCGTTATCCAAATTTATTTATTAAAAAAAGCAGAATAATAACTTTAATAAAAGACTGGTTCTTTTAATTTTAATCATATCAATTTGCTAGGACTCAGACAAAGACAGATGGAATCGTCAGATGATATGGATTCACTATTGAAACACCATAACAACATGCACGAGAAAATAGCAGAGAATATGCTCAGCCTAGCGAGAAATATGAAAGAGAAATCTCAGCTTGCGGGAGAAATAATAAAAAAGGATATCCAGGTAAGTTCCAGCTAAAACTATATTTTCCAAGGGTTCCCAGAGGTTTTTTCTTGAAAAAAGTTTAACCCAGTGGTTTTTCTTGGCAAAATATTTAATATAATTAATGCCCTTAGAACATTTTTAGGACTGTTAAAAAATGAAATTAATAGACTGAAGTCAGTTATCGTAGCATGATACCCACTAGGTTGTTTTAGGACTTTGGTCATCTTCAGCATATAAACGACAGTAATAATTTATTATTAGTCAAAAACAGAATTTGTATTCAGCAACAGCATCTGTACGTAGGCTACTGAACAGTACTAATGAAATGAAATGGTTGATCCTGATTTCTGTAAAGTGTCCACCAAACATGCAAGTCATAACCCTTTTAACCAATTTAAGTTCTAACTAAAGGATGTGAATGTAGTCAAAACACAGTTATTCACTTTTCTCATTTCCCAGGTGGTGGAAAAGTCATCTCATCTGGCAGAAAAGAATTTCTCACAACTGAGGGTGGAATCAGAACGTCTTCAAGAGCACAGTCGACGAGCCTGGAAATGTTGGATGTGGATAATGTTGGTGGTCGTCATTGTCATATTTATAAGTAAGTTGTAAAACATAACATATATTTCGCTTGAGCAATATTCTGGTTGGTGTCAATGTAATTTTCTCCGAATTGGTGCAATTTACTCAGCTCTTTAAATTGTCAATTTATCAGTGAATTTTTCAATATGTAGTTGAGTTTGGGTTATTAAGGGTGTCATGCGTTCATGAAAATAAATTTCAAGGACAATTCTAGGTTTTCCAGGTTTTCAAATCCGCTGGACGAAGCCATCTGCTCAAAAACAGCAAAATTAACTTTTTTATACCTATAGGCCTACTACTTGCTACAATATAACCCCTTCAAAGAACCAAAAATTCAGAACATATTTTAAAGTGGGAAATCAAACTGGTTGATAACCATCCGGTAACAAGAAAATACATGTTTTTTACTGTGCAATATTATTTTTCATTTACGTTTGCGTTGTTATAGAATATACCATATTTAATCTCGGTTTTTGGTTGTAAGGTAATCATTAGTAAAATTTAAGAATTTAAAAATGAAATCCAAATCCTAAAAATTGTGTCACAAATAAAGAACACAAGTTCAGATGTGATCAAATACAACACAAAACGTTCTATGAAAACCGGTTCTTACTTAAGAGTTTTTTCTTACTATCTATCTATCTATATACAGTAGACCCCCTCTTAACCGACCTCGTATTAACCGATAATCGGATTATCCGCCTTTGATAGTAAAATAATACAGTTTGTTTTAACCGACCTTGCTTTGTAGAGCAGTTCGGTTTAACTGCCGCTTTCTAGGAATCTCCGCATTTCCACTCCCACGCTGGGTGATGAGAACTGAACCATACGCTTATCTCCACAGGATATGACTAACAATAAGTTATTTTGTGTTGATCACAAAAAATATAGCATAGCCTATTATTGTCAGTTTGTCATCATCTTTTGTAGCTCGAGCACATCTGATCAGATATGTTATCTGTGCGGCAAATTTATAACATCATAAAGTGCGTTACGATTTTGAGAACTGATTATCTTATGGCTGGAGTAAACAAACAACGCAACTTGTTGGGAGGGCAGGGAAGTTGTGTTAGCAACTCCAAGGTCAAGATAGTTTTTGTGCCTCGAACCTCCAGTGAGAGGCTACAAATAAATGTCCTGTCTTGTAACAAAATGGTCACTTGTATCCCTAATGACGACAAAAGATTCTGTACTGTATTACGATGTATTTGGAAAGCATTAATTAATACACTACAGTAGTAAAGTTATTAAAATAGGAATTTTATTGACTCTTGCCTAGTATTATAATATATTCACTGAAAGTAGGCCTATTTGACTTAACCGTGTTTTGTGTTTATTTGTGACATTTCTATCAATATGAAAAAGGAGATAAGAGTAGTTTATTTTATAAATAATGCAAGTATGGCTTCAAAATAATGATTACGAGAGGTCGTCCAGTGGTCGAAACTCGACCAAAAATATGTAATGTACTCACTTATCTATTTTCACCCCACACTGTAAATAAAACATGTGATTGGAGTTTCCTCCATTTGTTTTGATTTTCTGTTTATATTTCGTTGTTATTTCGTAACCATCATAGCAACGCATAAGATCCATGTTAATTTTTTCAAATTTTTAAACTCATTTTTTGTGCTTATCTTTGAGCCTATTTAAATTTATAAAGGGATTCTGCACACCTACAGGAAAATAGCTTTCCAACGGTATGCGTAGATTTTCCCTACGATTCACACAAGCTGAGAAAAAAGGTTTTAAAGAAACATGCTTGCCTATTAATATATAGATAGATATAATTCTAAATGAATAGCACTTCATTATGTTATGATTTTAGGGATTGCCCGTTTTATCCGACCTTTTGAATTATCCGACCTAGGTCCGGTCCCATTAGGGTCGGTTAAGAGGGGGTCTACTGTATTAATAGGCAAGCATGTTTCTTTAAAACCTTTTTTCTCAGCTCGTGTGCATCGTTGAGAAAAACTACGCATACTGTTAGAAAGCTATTTTCCTGTAGGTGTGCAGAATCCCTTTATAAATTAAAATAGGCTCAAAAATAAGCAAAAGAAATGAATTCGAAATTAAAAAAAAAAATTAACATGGGTCTTATGGGTTGCCATGCTGGTGACGAAATAACAACGGAATATAAACATAAAATCAAAACAAATGGAAGCAATTCCAATCACATGTTTTATTTACAGCTTGGGGTGAAAATAGAGATGTTCATAATTTTGCCATGATCGCGCAAGTCGACAATGACGTTTCTGTGACTGCGGAAGTAGACAATGATGTTTACACGACCGCAGGAGATGATAAAATCTTTGCCGCGACCGCGGAAGACAACTATAATGTCTACATGACCAAGGGAGATGTTCATGATATTTCTAGCGATCGCGCAAGACGATGATGACGTTTTCATGACCGCGGGAGAGAATGATGATATATACACGGCCGCGGGAGATAATCAGAATTTTGCCGCGACCGCGGAAGACCTCCCACCAAAAGACGCCGGATTACTGGAGTGCCGGAGTGGCACAGTGCAGATTATACTACTACTGTACAATGTTTTAATAAAAAATAATTACGGCACCTGGTACATATAGATGGGCTGTCTACTTCAGTATCCAATAGTCGATGCGTGTACATTACATATGTTTGGTCGAGTTTTCGAGCACTGGACGACCTCTAGTATTAATACAAAAAGGTATCAAAAAACCATGCTGGCCTATAGGAAAAGTACAAAATTAAAAAAAAATGTATAAGGCGGACTCTCTCCGTACGTGACTCTTGATGCTTCAACTGATTTTTGTTATTTAATCTGATTGTGATAATTCCTAATGTTATCTGACCTCTTATTGAAATCTCTGAATTATATAACATCTGTGTGAAATGTATTTTATTTTGCCAAATGTTAGGTCTATATTTCTTCATTGATATAGCCTAACACTATTACAAATTGCGGTGGGGCACACGGGAGGGACTATGGCTAACATATCTTGTAGTGTCAGCGTTCGCCGCTAGAACCGCTAAGTTGAAAAAATTTAAATTAATTTTTAAATTTTTAGTTATAACCTAAAATTAACTTTTTAACTATAAATTACATTTTTAATTATAAAATTAAACCTAACCAAACTTGCTGATAATATAACAAAATATATAAGAAAAAAATCAAATGAATGTTTACTTATAATTTTTAAGTATAAAATCAATTTTAAAATTGAGTACTACAAAATTAAACTGTCATAACCTAACCTAACCAACCAAACATGCTGATAATATAAAAAAGATATGATAATATAAAAACGATATAAGATAAAATCTAATAAAGGTTTACTATTAAAAAAAGTTCTGTTCATAAATAAAATTATAAATGCATCAAATTCTAACAAAATATGTACAGTTAACACGTTCGCGGCGGCACGTCAAATGGCGGGTGTATCCCCAGTGCGGCGCAGCCCTCAGCGTCGAACAAACCCGATTGCCGCGTGTGATTGGCTTTCCAATTTCGGTCTGACGAATAGCAAATAATGTGCGAGGATGTCCTGCTTTACAACGAGAGTCGACGTAGTTCGCTAAACATCCACAGATAGCAGCACTGCTTGAAACGTAGCCGGTCCCATTGGAATTGTATTGCCAAAAGGAGGGCAAAAGACGGGACAAAAAGTAGATTTTTGAGATTGCCAGACGGAGAAATTGACTACCAACCTACACCACAACAAAATACAGTATACTATTAAGCAGTGCTGTGCGAGGTTTCACGTTTCTAGCTCTAATCCTGGCTTAAAAATAAATCATTTCGTACTGCATTGCAGCTTGGGAGCGATCGCACCCACCAGGATGGCATTAGGGTTCCGTATATAGGGCCGCCGCGAACGTGTTAAGAAGTAGTCACAATCAAAGCAAAATCTTTGACAAAAAGTTAATGTCCCCGACTGGTTTTGAAATGGAGACCTCCTGAACATCAGGCCGAAACGCTATCAACTATGCCATGAACGCCGCTGGAATCACATCGTCTCGTTAGGGTAATCGTGTTGCCTCAAGAGAAGACTTTAGCCACTAGAGATATGACGTCACCACACCTCTAGCCATCGTCCCTCCCGTATGCCCATTCCATACAACTTGTGTTTAATTGGTAGTTTGAAAGTATCAATTATCACTTGTCTCTGTTGCAGATATGGTGCTATTTATGAAGGTTATGAAGAAAAGAAAATACTGAACTTCTTCTAATTAAATATTGTACATTTTTACATCAATGAAGTATTGTAATTTATTTTTGACATTGTGTACTTGTTATTTGTGCAAATGTCCCTATTCTAACTTACAGTAAATAACCTTAATAAGGTAAGTTAGGGGCTAAACCATTAGATATTGTCTCTGCTAGATCCGTACAATGTACATCACTGATAAGGGTTATATGTGTGTTTTTGTGAAATAAAGAACCGCACACACAAAATGTTTTTTATCCTACGGTCACCCGACAAGGTGGGCTTCCTTGCACCGATTAGTACATACAGCTGTTAATTGCTGCCTTTACTTTGCCACAAACTTATAACATTGTCGCACACCAGTATCCCAACAAATCAACACTAAACTGTGTGCTTTTATTATGCGCGTAAACCGTGTATGCTTGGAAATAGGCCGGTAACACTTAAAGATACTACAACTACAATAATCTAGTGTAGCTTTTCCCATTTCGTTGAATGCTTGGATTTAACCTAACCTAAAAAGTGTTTGAAAGACTAATTATTGAATTACTTTATAGTGACTGCAGGAAAAATATAATGTATAACACGAGCGCAGGGAGCCTTTGCTGCACTCGAGAAACTTCCCAACCACCTCTTCTATGCGGCAAAGTGCCACTTTGTTCACTAGTTACACAAATATAGTTATAAAAAAAATAATGGACCTTATTTAACAGGCCAAAATAGCTGAATTTTTAAAGGAATCAATAATTGAGTACTAACAATAGTAAACTTGTTTATTTACAAAATAATTACACTGTAAATATAGTGATTATTTTTGCTATTCAAGTTCAGTAGGTTCTTGTACATTTTAGAAGTCTTCAATGTAGCTTTTCTACATCATTTCAATATTGTAAAGCTAAATAAAAAAGCCAGATGAACAACTTAAGTCACAGTAGTATTATGGACCTGAGATTCTATATTTAATTGGTTATTCCAAATCATGAAAATTTTGAAAAAAAGGAAAGCATGTAGCAAAGGACAATAGCGGTTGTTTTAGGATTTTATCTTAATGGGAAAGAGTTTATTCTGGCTGTAGAAAAACCCCTAGTGCTGACCTGCACTTTAAGCGAATTTCTATTCGTCAGATTGGACGTTTACTAAGACTAGCTGTTACCCACGGGCTTCACCCCGTTTGACTTCAAAAGTATTAATAAAACTATTGATTGGTTAAGTTCATTGAGTTAATTAGATTGTAACTGGAGTCACTACTCTGTGGACAAAAACGTGCCACTGTTTTTGCTGGTTTGCCGTGTGATCGGTTGGTGGGATGCTGACAAATTCCAATTCATTCTAACCTAACCATACTATTTATTTGGGGTTATCCGTTATTTCAAGGACTTGTATCAACAACTTATTTAAGTTATTACACATTATAACCTGTGTATTTAAATTTATTTTGAAACATAATAAATTGTTTTTGATAGTAAATAAATAATAATTTAAATTTATTTACCTCTTTTCAAGCTATGATTAATGGTGAAAATAGTCAAGTTTCCTGGTTTGGAGATATTGGTTTAGTCTTAGGTTTAGGCCTATAGCATTTGTTTAAAGAACGGCCATTGGTTTATGATCTTGTTAAAATGGGTTGCTCGTAAAATAAATAAACTTATATTGCAATCATAATGTTGACATATTTTTGTTTACTATCAACAAAACGCCATCTTGATCTTGCCTCTTATTGGACAAGTCCTACCAACCGATCACACGGAACCTCTATCAACACCACGAAACTCTGAAACAAAACCAGCAAAAACAGTGGTACGTTTTTTAAACACAGATTGGTTACTCCAGTTATTATTATAGCTCAGTGGTTAAGTTAAGCTGAAATAAACAAAACGGAATACCGTAATAGAAACAAAAAATAATCACACCTGATTTTAATAAGGTAATAAATTGAATGAATAACATACAAATTAATAAGTACAGCTGTAAAGTTCATTTTTAGGTAATTTAAACAGTAAATTCATACAATCCAAAGGCCATTCCATCGTAAAATTGATTGTAGTTTTGAATTTATTTTCCACAAACATGCTGAATTTTGAGTGATTTTACAGTGAAAAATTGTATCTGACCAATATTTAGCTAAACTGTTTTCATGATGTACTCGAGACCGTCCATCCATTTTTCTTTTCATTTGTTTGCTTATTTTTCTTCTTATTCCTTTTTTCTGATTCTTCACCTTTGTTTCCACTATTGGTATTGACTGCTTTTGACTTATTGTTCTGTTTGTCTTTACTACTAATATTTTGTTTTCGTGGCTTGTTTTTATTCCCATCTTTGTTGTTGTATATTAATTTATTTCTGAACTTTTTGGGTTTGATCCCATACGCTTCTAACCTAGCATCCGATAAACCAAGCAAGCCTGATTTTTCTATAGAAGTATTTTGAGTTCTTATCTCCTTCTTGTTGTTATTATTTTTACTTGGCATTCCCTTGATCTTATTTTTCTGAGCATTGAATGGTTTTCCTTGATCTGGAGTTGGTTTTCTTCTTTTGTTTGGCGGTTGAATCATTTCAGAAGCAACAGATTTACGTTTTTTACTTAAGTCATTTTTATTACTTGATGCCTTTTTTTTTGTTTTTTTGCTATTTATTTTATGTTCACTGTCCTTTTGATGTGCATCTTTACCTTCAACCCTGCTGTCTTCCAAAGATGGAGATTTTTCATCTTCAGATCTAAAAGAACACGTTACAAATCAGTACATCTCTTAAATTACTCACTACAAGACGGTAAATATATATAAATGATGGTCAGTACATCTTTTAAATTACTCACAAGATGGTAAATATATATCTATATAATTAATACGCTACATGAAAGTTTGTCGGTTGAACTCCTCCGCCATTTCTTAACCGATTTTATCCATTGACGCCTCATTGGAAAGAGCGTGTCGCGTAGATTTGCAAACTGGCCTTACATTTTTAAAAAAGTCCCTTGGGCTCTGTCCCAGTGGCTTTGAAAGTTCCCATGTTATCCTTATGGAGAACTTAGTTGTTTACATTTTGATCAGCTGTATAATTTAATTGCTGTTATTTATTTTTCAATTCCATGAAACAAAACGCATTGAGTAAATTTATTTACTATTTGAGTTTGTGTAAACATAACCCCTAAGACGGATCGTGTTGGTATGGTTATATCTTAAATTTGTGTATATGTAGATGTGTAATATTTTTTTTGTAACTTTTACCTTTGTAACCAGCTAAGTAAAAAAGTTTCGCGTTTAGGTTTTGAGATTCGAGATTTGGGATTCGATTTTTAAAGTTTCGGTTTCGGTTTTGAGATTCGAAATTTCTGGTTTTGACCACAAAACAACTTTTCGTTCTCAATTGGCCCTCTATCAATGACCTGTGTTGCCTGTACAGCGAGGCATTTTGAGAAGGAGAAAACCGGCCGGAATGCTTTAGGTTTATCAATAACGAAGATAAACATGGTCTGAGTTACACACCGGTAATCTTTGAATTGACTCTTTTAAATTCATTGTAAATATGACTGTTATTCGTTTTGAAATAACTCCTGTAATACTTTGCAATTGCTCGAATTCGAGCAACATGTACACTAGTATTATATAAATGATGGTAAGTGGTGGTTGATTTCAAATTGGATACTCCAATCATCATCAGACCCAATAGGCGAATGACGTACTAAGAATACTTAGAAAATTTCAAAAATTAAAAAGTGAGTAGTTCTGGAAATACAGTAGACTCCCTCTTATCCGGACACCTTTTAATTGGACATCGGTTTAACTGGACTACACTTGGCGGAAATGACATCTCTTTAACCGAACAATTTTTATCAGCACATTGGTTTAACCGGACTAGATCAGCAGGAAGTGGGCAGTACTGAAACGTCTGTTCTCGTGGGAAAGATTTGAGACCAGTGATCACGTGTCTTAATATAATGCTCTCCTAAATTTAAGTTGAATATCACAGTAAACTATTTGTAAAATATTTTGAGTGAAACTGTCACCATTGAAGACGGACATTTTTCCCTAGTTGTGTTTATTATTAATTGTAATATCATGTTAACATTCCTGTTATGTGATTAATGCTACAAAGTAATTGGCATGTGCTGTTTTGTAGCATTGAAAATAAAATAAATAAATAAACAGTCCATTTTAACGAGTTTTTTTTTTTGGGACGTCGGTTTAACCGGAAAACTTGTTCTCCAGACTGGCCTCGGACCCGAGGAGTCCGGATAAGAGGGAGTCTACTGTAATAGAATCTTGACCATTAAAATAATTTGTTTAGTCATGTTGGTTGTCTTTGGTCATCTGATTTTGTCTTTGGTTGAACATCAGATTCATCAAACAACACTTCATGAGTAATTTCTGATAAACACATTTGACTAGGTATTGAAAAAAATTCTAATTCAAGAAAAAGTTGATTTTAAATCACTACCTATCCAATAGAAATATCTCACAGCTTAAGTTGGATTTTTTTTTAGCTAGAAGCGGTTAAGGTGTGATGGAATATCTTTGAAGATGAACTTATTTGGCTGTAGTGCGATCATGTGTTCATACGTGTCAAATTTTGAGGTTAAATCAAAACAAACAAACTGGCATGTTGTCAATAATTAGGCGTTTAGGGGCCGTGTTGTATTACTTACAAAAGAATGCTCATTTAAGATAAAATGAATCAATTCAGTATACAGTAGACTACCTCTTATCCGGACTCCTCGGGACCAAGACCAGTCCGGATAACGGTTTTTCCGGTAAAACCTACGTCCCCAAAATCTCGTTAAAACGGACCATTTAAATGCATACTCTATACAGTATTTGACTTAAAATTAGGAGAGCATTGTAATTTAGACACATAATCACTCAAATCTTTCCCACGAGAACAGTCATTTCAGTACCGCCCACTTCCTTCCGATCTAGTTCGGTTTAACCGATGTGCTGATAAAAATTATCCGGATAAAGAGATGTCACTCCTACCGAGTGTAGTCCGGTTAAACCGATGTCCGGTTAAAAGGTGTCCAGATAAGAGGGAGTCTACTGTATTTCATTGTCCAATTTATAACAAAACATTCAGTATTTAGGATACTGCATTTTATAAACCAAACTCGAATCTTGCTTCTGTGGCATATCGTATACAATTATCCTGTTTGTACGTGGTGAACTTATCTGATTGCCTAAAGAATTTTTAGCAATACAATTAGCTTTTAATTATAATTTAAATGGGTCAAAACGTTAGTCTATAAAGGTTTATCTCGTCATCTCGAGAGTATTTAATTTTGGCCCCTACCTTGAAACCCAAAAGGCGGGTCTATATTTATAATTTTAAGTGATTTCAAAACGAAACGTAAATCATCATTACCGTATGTCCCATTAGCTATTTTATGTGTATCCCAGTCACAGCAACCACATTATTCTATTAATATCGACATAAATTTTATTTTTCCAAGATCAATTATTTAATATTTGCTCATAAAATTAATTAGGTATTTTCAAAGCAACCATCACTTATAATTCGGAGATAATAATTAAATAACAACTTATTCATTAGTTGATTTGGAATTAGGAATCACGTCTCTATTTCACAGTAAATATTCTCTAAATTACCAAGTACAGGCTAGAGTAAGATAAAAGTTTGAACTATTGTCAATTCCAAGAATATATTCCAGTTTGTTTGTTTTGATTTAACCTCAAAATTTGACACGTATGAACACATGATCGCACTACAGCCAAAAAGGTTCATCTTCATATTCCACCACACCTTAAAACCGCTTCTAGAAAAATATCCAACTGTAGGCCTACTAAGATTTTTTTATAAAACACTTTATGCCACAATTTAAAAATAGAAAAAACAAATTATTCCCAGAGATCCAATAGGTAGATCCTGGTCTTCGGATGACGGCCGCGTAGATGCAGACGGACATGTAGTAGTTATCGACATTCCAATGTGATGCAACCTTGAGAATGGACTGTTGCATCATGCTTGAAACGTCAGCAAATACTTCATAGCCTGCATATACTCTGCTGTCACCCAAAGACCAGGATCTACCAACTTTAGGAATCGACCGTGGAAGCCTAATGCAAAGATATATATTTATTCTGAGAAATTTTGAAAAGAAGTGTTTTAGAAGCAAAAGTTTAATGAAAGTAGGTACCTATCAGTCTAATAGAAAGGTTAATAGGTAATATAATAATATTATCATGTTCAACAAGATAATACATTGTTAAAGTATTTGACAAAAAAAAAAAACGTTTAAACTCTCTGTGAAAATTTATCTGGTTAACCCTATCTTAGATGATGGGGTTTAAAAGCTCAAATTAAGGTTTTTTTTATATTTTTAGAAATTATATTCATAGTAGAAAAAACAAATAAACTTTTTGGCATTAATTGTAAGTTTTATATTTTGGAAAAAATCTTAGTCAATAGGGTAATATAACAGCACATTCAATATTACATATGTTTAAGAAGTGATTTGTTAAAGGTTGTACTCACATCTTATACAAGCTTGGAAGTATTTTCCTTTTTAATGCCTCATTTTCTGCTTTTTTCTTGAAAGACATGGCATCACTTTTTTCCTTGAAAGAGGGCTTTAATTGAGTTATGCGTTTTATAGAGCACCATCTTTCCAATTCTTTGGGATCAGCTGCTAGAATCTGAAACATTATATTAGACAGTAAACTTACTGAACTATTCAGACTATGAAGAATTTTTTTCAACACTGAGCCCTAAGCATTTCTATTAATATTTTTTTAGGGTATGTCCTACAGAGAGGTAGTAATCGGAAAGAAAATATGCAGATGACGCTCACTAATCTAGTACTTTGGTAGTGCTGTATTATTGAAATTGACAGATAACTGAACGTCTGTTAAAACAAACACTTTCTAGTGAGAATACCACTAACTTTAATGTGTCATATGGAAATCGTTCGCTGGCAGGCCAATTTCATCTGTGTTTTAATGTGTTATCTCTTGTTTTGTAATATAGAATGCTAACAATAAAAAGAAAAAAAATTAAAACAAGACGTCTCAAGATTCTATCTCTTGCCACTGCCGTACGCTCCTCACTCTGAAGAAGGTGCTGGGGCAGGAAGCCAGGACAGCTGTCAAGATGAGAAACAGAGACGAGTTAAGCCTCATCAAGGACTAGACACCTGCCCATACTAAGGGATTTTCTGAGTATGTTTGGAACTGACAGTAACCACCTTAGGCCCCGTTTATGCACCAAGTGCGGTAGCGGTATCGACAGCGGGAGCGATTTCTAACACCATTGAGTTAAATGGGGCTGTTTATGCACCAAGAGCGATAGCGATAGCGGTTGACCTCCCGCTGCGGTTTCTAATTCGCCCGCTGTGTAGTTAGAAATCGCAGCGGTTGCTTGAGATGAAGCCAACTTGCCAACTTGACCCACGCGCACTTAGGACAAATAGTTGTGTTAATTATTTGGCAAAGTTTGAGTTGGCAAGACTGTGTCCCCCTTCCATTCTCCTTTAACCAACCGCTACCGCTATCGCTCTTCGTGCATAAACAGACTCATTTACAGCGGGAGCGGGCCCGCTATCGCCCCGCTCCCGCACTTGGTGCATAAACGGGGCCTTATGACTAATATTGAGATTCCCTACCAAGTTGTAGTAGGGAATAGTGGCTGGCAACAGGAGATTGCTCAAGATTGATTTACACTTATCACACAGTCAGGACAGGTCAATAATTTTGAAATTTTTCAAAGACAAAATCAACATTGGACTTACCTCTTCAACAGTGAGTCCATAAGAATTAGGGACAGTCTGTCTGTACTTAAATCTGCAGGGAAGATCACCAATGAAATCTTCACAATCTATGGCATAATATTGGTCGACATAATCCTCAAATGATTTGTGTACAGTCGGGTCAAAAACTGGTTTCTCTCTCTTCAATACTTCACCGACAGTGTTTTTTCGATGTTTGTCCTTTCTCCTCTTACTTCGTGACTTTTTTGGTTTTGTACTTTCGGCAGCTGGGTCATAATCACAGTCCATCTACGGCAAAATTATACAACATACGATATATGAAACTGAAAACCTAACAAGTGAAAAGAGTAATCTGTTTGCTTTTAACAGACATGTGCTCCTCCAACCTTACACAAGAATTACTGCGCTTGCCATTTACATTGATCAGTGTGGTATACGGTTAGGTCAGATACATTGGCTGAGCTCAAATCCCACTTTGGTCGAGTCTGATGTCTGTGAAAGAGCTTAATGGGAGGGGCTCGCCTAAATTAAACAGTAGACGTCTTTGGTAGAAGTTGAAGGAATGGGTGGAGTCTTTGTGAGTTGTACCTCAAATCAGATATTTGGTTTGAGTCCACCGAAAACTTGATTTTAACTCCTTTGGATTTTTGTGTAATATAAAAAAGGCAAAAAATGGTCCATGGAGTTCAAACGGATGAACCTTTTCCATTTTAAAAACTCTTGGGCACATGTGGGATTAATTCCACAGCTTACTTTTCATGGGTCTACTTAAATCTGACAGCGATACACATTCCTTGTAAAAAAATTGCATAAGAATGAATTCTTCATGAAACTGGGCAACAAAAATACTAATTTTTATAAAAAAATATAATTGTTTATATGAGCTAGTCCCCAAAAATTATATTTACAAATTTGATCAGAAAAGTTATAGACTATGCAGCTGGCTTAACCCTTTAAGCCAGGTTTAAGTTGCAGATTACATAATTATATTTGTATTTACATTGAAATTGGGGTCTTCACACTGAGGTTCGTTTTCATTGATATCCTCTTCCACATCTTCTTCTTTCACTTCTACTTCATCTTGCCATTCACCTAAAAAAAAAATAGTTCAATTCAAAATTGAAACTTTACACCAGTGTCATGGATAGTTGAAATCAATAATCAAATCCTTCCAGGCTCAAACAAATGTGGAATGGGTGTTTTTTCTAAAATAAAATATTGAGAATCATTGCTTGGAAATAATGTCCTAGAATAGATTGTAAACAAACCTTTTTAATATGACTCATACCAATCCGTTTAAGAAATGAACACACCCTGTTACCAAACAGATAAAAGTATCATGGAAATATAAAGCTTTAACCCTAGGAGTGGCGAGACCGATTTTCAGTATGTGCTTTGTGGAGTGGCACGCTCATTTTGGTGAGTTTGTAAGGGAGTTCTTCAAAAATCTGTATAAAATTAGTATGTAGAGATAAACTATTGAACCGTATATTCATTTTGTTCGTAATAGTCAGTAGAATTCAAAAATGGTAATACAAACCAATTTTAGAAAGGTAGATTTTTAGAAAAAAGTAAAAAAAAGAAAATTTATAAATTTTTCAAATTTTATTTCAAAAGCAAACACGTGTCACATGTAACGTAATTTTTTATTGCACAATTCAAAATATGCATTTTTGTTCAGAATTTATTCCTCTACATAGACATATCATAATATACACAAAAGAATTATTTTTATAGATTTACTAGCAATAATACGGAAAAATTGGAAAACGTCAAATTCTTCAACTACACGTTGATAGATCCACAAATGCCCTCTACTAATAAATCAATATGATAAAACCATACATTTTTTGAAGGCAATAATATCATTCTATATAAGAATAACTAAATAAGATAAGTAATAGAATATTTGGTTTTCACAAAAGCAAAAATGTAAACAAAACAACTGATCAGCTGTTATAGCCCACAAAACTTCACTAACTTTTTATCCTATTTTGGATCACACATGTATAAATATTTATGCAAAATAATGCATAAATATTTCGCCTAATACAAAATAAAAACCTAAAACGAACATTACACTGTAAAATTAGGGATAAAACCCACACTTCGTCTTTGTTATCGGACAAAAACTCACGACGACGCCGCCATTTTAGGTTAGACGATGACAAGTGTTCTGTCCCTTAAGCTTTGAAAAATCAAAAGCTTCTATTTGTGTGACCAGCCTAACAACATTGAATTCTACTGTCCTTCGTCTACAAGAGCGTATATAAAACAAAGTTTTTGTACTTTTCACATTGTATATATATGTGATTTAGAAATCGACATTTTATGTCGATCCGCCACATGAACAATACGTAAAAATAGGCTATTTACAAAAATTGCTCATCAGCTGTTGGAATGTATTATGACGTTATACTTTATACAGAATAAAAGATTTCTTCATGCTTGTTACAGTGGTACCATTTGCTTTTGTCACAGACAAAAATTACGTCTGCTATTTAGTTTTGAAATGACTCATCATTGACGATTGCGCAACAAAACATGGCGTTCGCGAGTTCGCGCGTATTTTTCGTTTAAATGTAACTCATTATAAGATAGATGTATTTATGTTATAAGGTTTATTCTTATAATAAAATGAAACTTCGGAATCTTATCTTTCCATTGGTATAAGAGTTATGTCATTTCACCGACTTTAAATGTGCTTAACATGCATAAAAAAACGTTACATCAATCGACATATTCTGTCGCCCGCCACTCCAGCGGCACATTTTGAAATCGACATTTTCTGTCGATCTGCCACTCCTAGGGTTAAATCCACAATTCAAAAGTAATACTGCACTGTACTACTGCTGTAATAATGGTAGGCCTACTGTGAATCTTCATTTCAATATACTATTGTAGGATTTATTTATACAAATACTATGTATCAAAAGGACTTAAAATATAGACTAAGGAAAAGAGACCACCATGTTTAAACAGAACCGTTTTATATAGTACGTGTGTTTTATTAAGCATGGTTTGATTTTATTGTAAACCAATCTCTGACGATGGTTTTATTTTAATTTTGTTGAATTATGTATTGACATAGCCTATTATGTATGTTTAATGGCCAAATAAACAATTTGAATTTGAATTTGAATTTTATAATGGTGTGAGAAAATTTGTGTTTTGGTTGTTGTAAGTTAGGTAAAAACTTGTTGTCTTATAAATATTCTTGATTTTCTAGGCCAAGTAAATCACACATACCATCTAAATCTTCATCATCAACTGGGTTGAAACTAGGATCATCTTGAGAATAGAATTCTTCATCAAACAGCTTCTGCATAGCTTTGTCATGTTCATCAATGTCAAAGTCCTTGTCTAGCACATTCTAAAACATAAAAACTGTTGTAGTGATGTAAAGTATTTAGAGTAAAATTTACTTATTTTCTGCTTCGACTTGAGTCAGTAGTTGAATATTCTATTCATCTTTGATTAATACACGCATTACGACTCAGTGATAACTCAAAACAATTGCAGACCTGTGGATACTTGGGCAGTATTTAACAAATAGACCTAACTTGTGAATGTAAAAGAATCATTCTGTACTGGAGTACCATAGGATAACTATTGTTGACTCAATACACAATTTGACTTTATATAACTTATGAATTAAGTACTTGACTCATCAAATCACTAAACTATGTAACAAGTAAAGCTCTGTAGTCCGGGTCATAGTGCCTGATTAAGAACCCAATTATCTTGTAAAAAGGCATGTGTTTTTGTCTACCCAATGTTTATGTTTTTGCTTTCTCTCTTATACACAGTATTTAGTACTAAGGAGAAAGTGATGTTTTGATTAAATATTTTAATTTCAGTTTTTAATGGAAATATCCGCTATGAATTCCCCTGAACCCAAAAAAGTTTGTTTTTGAAGTTATGTCTGTGTGTGTGGATGTGTACAGAGCTAGGGACTACGACCAAGGCTACAACTGTGGTCCAATTTTCATGGCCCATGGTATCTCTAGGCATCTTTTAATTTTTTTTTTTTAATTTTGATTATTAGTGGTAATTTCCTACAATGCCACAAAAAATAACAGAACAAATTTGATTTTTCACAAAAACAGTTTGAACAATTTTGATTGAATTTTAGTATATTATCTAATCCTTTAAACCTTGAACAAAAAAGCACCTGCCCCCAACACTGAAGAATTACAATATTGTTTGCCTCATCCCATAAGAATCCCATAGCTACTCCCTTTGGTTACCCAGTAGAATTTTTATAATTGCTCATAAAAGTAGTAGGAGGTTCAAAACTAATGCCAAGCTAATAATGGGAGAAACTAAGTGTCATTTTGCTGATACAGTTTATTTAAATGTTTTGTTCTTTTGACCGCGATGACTACAAGACGTGTTTTCACACTATTAAGATGCTATAAAGCAGTTGTGGACCTGAACGGGTACACAATTTTATAAATTTGAGACAACTTTGTAAATTCCATGTTGGGTACATAGGTAGGCTGTAAAGATAGCATAACTTTCATGATATTAGTGTAGGCTATTATTTCTATTTTTACAAAGATTCCAATAAAAAATGGCTTTACATTTAATTCACTCAATGGATAATGTGGCCTGCCTAGTTAAAAACAGGATTTTATCACCAGAACGACAACAAACCAATAGGCAACAGGCTACGATTCTCCACTTACATCAAATGCAAGTTTTTCATTTCCAGTTAATTTTTTTAACTCTTCAAGTTTTTCCTCTATTTCCTTCTTCTTTAGTTTTTGTTTTTGCTTTATTTCTGCCTTCTTCTTTTGTTTTTCCTTCTGCTTCCTTTCTTTGATTTCTTCTCTTTTTCTTTTGCGGTAGTCGTCTTTCTGCCTCACAGAGTTTTCCATAACTCTGGGGTATCTTTTAATCTGTAAAGCAACAGTTGGTATATATAGACAGTTGAAATAAATCAAGCAATGCAATTCTGCAGTAACTATGTAATACAGTAATTCTAACATAGTAAAGTAATGTATTGCCCAAATCACACAAATTAATGAAGCCCCTGTGCAAAAAAGGGTTAGTTTTCTAAATCTTTAGTAAACATAAATCTTTGTGATACTTTTCTACAAAACCTAGTAACAAAATCTGTTAACTAAAAAAATTGTGTCCGATATTTGCAATTTAATTGTAAAACGTCAATCTAGGACAAAATCGCTGACGATAAGAACAAATCTTGTTCCGAGAATATTCCGAGGTAAATGTACGATAATTGAAAATATATTTTTCACAACGATTTTCTGAAATCTCTTGACCCATCCATCCCTACTTGTAAGTATGAATCATTGGGAAAACCTTTTACTCTAACTTCAAGCACTCACATATTCATGATCTGGTTCTTCAGAACGATGACTGCAGTCTTTATCTAACTGATCGTCTTCAGATTCTGACTTGTCTTGAACTGTTGCTTCTTTGTCGTCTGCTTCTAAAAATCTGAAATGAAAGTTTAGACAATACTAGTTACTAGAAGGCCTACATAAGACTTTCATAGATATGTTCACTTGACTTATCTGGTTCATAATTAATTGTAAGCTCATAATGCATAAGATGAAGGAATTGAAATATATTCTTTTAAATACTTACAAGAGTTGACTTTTGGTTTAAAACCTACATACAGTCCTCTTGATTTAAAATTTTAACCTTTGAACTGTTAGTTATTTACAATTAACTGATTCGAAAAGCTAAATCAGTGCTCTACCTTTTGTTTAAGATGTAATCTCTGAGAAATTGATCATCTTCCTTAAGATCAGGGTTGGTCCAGAAATCTCGGAGAGGTTTCATTTCTTTTGCAACCTCCTCGTCAGGTGCTTCACTTTTCTGCCCTTTCAGCCATTCTTTGTAGTCTTTTTCTTCCTTCTCCTATAGATGAATAGATTTTGAAGTCCAAAATTTGCAATTTCAGATCTTTTGACAGCATAGAAACTTATAGCAGAAATAAATAATAAGCTAATAGACTAGTTTCAACAGCCCGAGTGTGGTGCTTAGTGACAAAATTTAAATATTAGCCTACATGGGCACTGACCACTTGGTCAATCACCAATAAAGGAAGATAACAAAATTCTTTGTAGTTGACAATAAGGTCAGACATCGACCATGAAATATTTCAATTTTTAGTGTATATAAATGTATTACCTATTGAGAAAATACACCTACTACAGGCAATCCTGCTCTTCATATGAAAAAAACAAACCCATTCTGACCTTGGGTCCTTTACCAAGAATATCTAAATAACTTTATTGCTACGTACTAATGGAGCAATTATTTTCAGTTAGTCCTGCTATATCTATCCTCAATTGTGTTTACTTATACACACATTTACCCATTGACGACATGTCACAAGTGTAGCTCGTCTGCTCGTTGTACTGCTAACCCTCTGGCGCTTAAGTAATTTGGCGAATCTAACACTGCGAGTGCTAGTGTCGACGTGTACTTAACTGTGACACTCTTCCCGGCAAAAAATACCTGCCTTCGTATGGTCGCCATTTCAGTAAAAAGTATTTAAGTATTAGGCTTATCGTATTTAATAATTATTTCAATACAAATAAAAGATGTTGGTAACTTACAACATCTTGTTTAGTTTTATGAGAATTTCAACACAGATTTACATGTGAAAACGACGTTTGCCAATTAAGTGTTAAGTGTGAAAAGTGCTTCAAATGACCTAAAAAAAATCAGAATTAACTTTTTGGTTTGTAAACGTATTGTGATTTTCAGGCCTTTTTGTGATTTTGAATTTTAAGGTAAAAAAGGCTTTTCCCCAGAGTGCCAGAGGGAAGAAGTTTTCGAAATGAGCCAAATAATGAGTAAAAATATTTTTTGCGAAATTTGTTTTAAACCCTGTGAACTCTACCTTTTTTTAAAAATATTTCAGCATCAATGGGTTAAAGTTTTAACTTCCAGTAACTTAAATAAGTCCAATGGTAAATTCCTTTTAACTAGGCCTACCTTTTATGTAGTTGTACATCACTTACCGTTTCAGTCTTTGATTTGTCCCGTTTCTTAAAAAGGCCACCCCATTCTGCTTCACTCTCATATTCCGAATCTGATTGTAGCAAGTTTTTCAAACTATTCTTCAACGCTCTTTGCTCTTCTACGTATGAAACCTCAGCAAAGCTTTTAGGAAGAGATTCTGGAAAAAAACATTCAATCAAAATTTAGGTAAAATTGAGTTTGGCCTAGCACGTAACCTTCAGTGCCGACTCTCCTGGGCCGAGGCACATCCGAGCATGATTAGCTTAGGGGAGGGGGGGGGGTCCAGCACACAGCGTGTTTGGAGTGGCTATTTCCCACAATGTTTTCAAAAGAGGTTCAAAAACTAATTAGGCTATTGGATTTAGGCCTAACAATTTACAAAAAATTTAAGCTTTTCCAAACTAGTTCATTTTGGACATATTTGGACAAAGCTTAGAAGTGTTAGAGATGTTCAACACTTCCTTTGTACATGGTGGTGTACATTCCTTTGTACATTTGTTTTAAGCCACGATTGTAACCTCTGATTTGTAATTTTGGAAATTTAATTAATATATTCTTATCTCATCTTCCTTATGTTTGGGACCAGGATGAATAACCAATTGGCATAGCCTAAGTATAAAACATAAATTGGCCTACTGCCACAATATGCAACTCCAGGTAAGTAGCCCGAGAGCTTAAGTTGGGCCAAGGTAGTATGAGTTGTGAAATCAATTAAAAAACAAATGCCATTCCAAATCACAGTTTAAAAAGAAACCTTGATAGATTAAATGTTCATCTTGAATAGTTATTTGTGTAACTAGTGGGCGAAGTGGCACTTTGCTTCACACGAGAGAAATGTTTACGCACAAGCTGTAGGCGTGTGAAAAGTTTCTCGTTTAAAGCAAAGGCAGTTTGCACTCGAGTTACAAATTATATTTTTCTTACAGTTACTATAAAGCAATATAAATAAGTCTTTCAAACACTGTACAACACGTTTTTAGGTTAGGTTAAATCCAAACATTGAACGAATTTGGAAACGTTGCACCAGCTGGTCGTAGTCGTAATATCTTTAAGTGAAGTGTTGCCAGCTTATTTTCAAGCGTACACGTATTACTTGCCTAATAAAAGCACGCTGTTTTGTGTTGTTTGGTTAAAATAGGCCTACTGGTGTGGGTAAAAAAAAAACTGTGCGGCAAAAGTAAGTAGATGCATTATTAGCAACTTGCTTTGATATTATTAGTGCAAGTAAGGCCACTTTGTCAGAGGTGACTGTAGGAAAAATATTTAGTTAGTGTCTTAAAATACAGTTTTTACCTTCATCACTTAGTTCTCCACCTTTTTCAACTACAATTTTCCTTTCATAATCTCGCAGAGTTAATGGAGCAATTTTAGACTTCTCGGGTTTTTGCTCAGGGATAGGGACATCTTTGAAAAACTCAACTCCTTTTTGGTAGATTTTTGGATCCTTGCTTTTAATATGACTGAGTGTCTTGAAGAACTCCTTTTCCACCTTATCAGTCAGTTTCTGGAACATAAATAGAGAACAGATTAATACACTGAATATAAATTACATTAAAAAATATCTTAACACTATAAAATTAACTAAACAATGTTTCATTTCAATTATTAATTACAAAATCAAAAATCTATATTCACAAATGTTACAACAAATTTGGATTCTTTCAATATAAGATGTTGAATGCCTGCTCCATCTCCAAATTCTCGAGCCGATCTCCATTTTTTCTTGTTCTTCTCAAGCACATGCTCGTTGCCCTTAAAATTGAGCAAGTCATTCTCAATCTAATCCAATTAACAACCAGACTGTAAGGCTTGCCCCATTTTTCTGACAACCTCTCAGCCAGTGCCTAATTCGTTGCCTAAGATTCCACAGACTGATGTTATCAGGGGAGTGAAAGAGGCATTCTGCCACTCACAAGCTGACATATACTTTCTTTTCTTTTCTTCTTCTGCGTTTGTTTATGACATTGTCATGAGGTTTGGAGACATATGAGGGAGCATCGGTGTCTAGGACACGGATATCAAATAATGCTTTCCTCTGTGTCTCCCACACCCCTCTACATGCCAAGTCAGCTATAATTGCAGGCCAGTATACAATTTCATTCTCTGCTATAAAGGTCTCTTTTATACAATTTCCCCATGCCTGTTCCATAAGGTTTCCTAAAGCATCTCTAATTTCATTGTGCTGTTTTATAATTAGACCACCAACAGGACATATAAGGGCATGGTCTGCTGTATTAAAGTCTTTTCCACAGCCATCACATTTGGTTGGTAAATGGATGTCCAACCGTATCTCAGTGCCAGGGAATCCCTAAAATCTCGCGGTGACATGTCTAAATTTAATTTTTTTTAATGGTATACAGCTGCCATGTTTTGATTTAGCGTCAGCATTTTGTAACATTACATTTTGCCTTAGTTTAACTTACAAAGGCAACAAAATTAAAATTTTAAATCTATCTATATAATTAATACACTAGCTTACATGAAACTTTGTGAACAATAAGGCTTTTTTGTTGAAAGAATTAACCCCACATTTTGTATACCAAGATGTTCGTCTAGGTGTGCACTGTGCAGATTGCAAACTGACCTTACATTTTCGAAAAGGTCCCTTGGACTCTGCCCCAGTGGCAATTAAAGTTCCCATGTTATCCTTATGAAGAGCATTTGTTTAAGTTATGATCAGCTGGATAATTTCATTGCTGTTAATTTTTTAGTGGCAGTTGAAGGAAAACGTGTGCTACAAACATTTACTGACTTGGTTGAAATGCAATATTTACTATTTGAATTTGGGTTGGCGTAAATATTACAATGGAAAAAAGCGTTAAAGCCTGGACAATTTGATATAGGCCTACTAAATAGAATACTAAATTAACACTGTGCTGCATTCTTCTTGATCAATCATTGAAAGAGTCGATTTGGACTTGGCAAACTTTGGAAACATAGAAAAGTCATAGAACCCCACCCAGTAGAAAAAATAGAAATAATGCTGTTTTTTTAAAAATTTATAATTGTTGTTATGGTCAAACTAATGCGGCTATGAGAAAACACTAAAAAAACAATACAAGCTTTTGAAAAATGATAAGATATTTACATGAAATGTTGATTATATCGAGCTGTTATGTACATCGTACGAGTATTTCCATAATCTTTGAGTTGACTCTTTTAAAGTCATCGGAAATTATGACTGTTATTCGTTTTAAAATAACGCCTGTGTAATAAACCTTTAAAGAATAAAACTTAGGTTTTATTAAGCAAAACTGAATACAAGAATTAAACAGAATAAATAAACAAATCTGACTAAAACATTAAGAATGTCAGCTGACATTTTGTACAGTACTTGGAATATCACCACATTCTTCCGCTCTAGTAAATTTTATACACATCGAATTTCTTAGGTAACACCTTTGGTCTGGTTGACCGACGTGGTGGATGAGGTTGATTGCAAGGAGCGCTGCTGGTTTGATGTTCATCATTTTCAGGAACACCATCTGACGTTGCTGGTGGTAAACATAAATCTGTATAGTTTTGAAGGAGCGGTTGTGACGAAGTAGTGTTCTGTTCCAGAAGGAGCGATTTTGACGAGGTAGTGTTCTGTTCCAACTGTTCATCACCGTCTTCGTTTTCATAAGTAAGATTTGTTGGATTTTGCATTACATTTCCTCTTGGTGCTAAATATCTTAAGGACACAATTGATTCTCTTCCTTCTTTATTGCGGACTAAAGAATATTTTGGGTTTGTCTCAATTACTTCAACCTCTTCGACCAGTGGGTCAAACTTACTGCCTCTTATGTGCTTCTTCATAAGAACTTTTCCTGGAATAGTCAGCCAAGTAGGGATAGTTTCTCCATTGCTAGATCTTCTTTGATGTTTAAACATTCTTTCGTGCGGTGTACAATTCGTAGCTGTGCATAAGAGGGATCTGATGCAATGAAGGGCTTCATCTAAAACACTTTCCCACTGAGTTATTTTCATCCCTCTCGATTTCAATGCTAGCTGAACAGTATTCCATATTACTCCGTTGAATCGTTCAACTTGCCCATTTCCACGTGGGTTATATGGACTTGCACGACTTGTAGCTATTCCCAAATTATGTAAAAATGATTTTAGTTCTACCGACATAAAACCGCTACCCTGGTCTGTGTGTATATATGATGGTGTACCAAAAATACTGAAGACTTTGTGAAGTTGTTTGATAATAGTTCTTGAGCTCATATCAGGACAGGGGAGTGCAAAAGGATAACGTGAATATTCGTCAACTATAGTTAGAATATAGGTGTTATTTGTTACTGAAGGGATTGGCCCTTTAAAATCCATATTAAGCCTCTCAAATGGGGCCATAGCTTTGATGAGATGTCCACTAGAAGTTTTCAGGAATTTTGGTTTGATCTCTGCACATAGTGGACAGCCTGCAGTCATTTTTCGCACATCTTCGACTGAGTAAGGAAGATTGTGGGTTCGGACCCAGTGCACCATTCGAGTAACGCCTGGATGACATAGTGACTTATGTAAGTCAATTAAACTTTGATTTGGCATCGAACTGCAGAGTCGAGTGAAGGCATCAGCGACTGTATTTTGAATACCAGGCCTGTAGACAGTGTCAAAACTAAAACAAGACAGTTCTAGCCTCCATCGTTGAAGTTTCTCATTCTTTATTTTGCTACTGTGTTTTTGATCAAAAATAAATGACACTGACCTTTGATCTGTCACAATCTTGAAATGCCGTCCAACTAAGAAATGTCTCCATTTCCTGACTGCCTCGACAATAGCTGCTGCTTCCTTTTCTATTATCGAGTGTCTCTTTTCACTGTCTGATAACGATCGTGAAAAAAAAGCAACTGGACGACCCATTTGACTAAGAGTCGCTGCAAGTGCATTCTGTGATGCATCAGTTTCTACTACGAATGGGATAGATTCATCAATAGTATTAATAGCAGACTGAGCTATCTCTTGTTTCAGTTTTTCATAGTCAGAAACAACTTCTGGAGGAATTGGGAATGTTTTGCATTTAACTAATCTGTGTACTTTTTCAGAAAATTGAGGGATCCATCTTGAATAGTGAGCTAGCATTCCAACTGCACGCCTTAATAAATCAAAATTACTAGGAACAGGTAAGTTCAGAAGGGGTTCAAGTCTTTCAGGATCCGGTTTAATAGTGTTATTTTCAATTAGGTATCCCAGAAGTCTGATTGATCTTTGGGAGTATGAACATTTGTCTTGATTCAGAGTCAGCCCGTACTTGTTGGCTGCTGCCAAGAAATTTGCAAGATTTCTATCATGATCTTCTTGATCTTTACCACAAACCGTCAAATCATCTAGATAAGCAAAAACCCCTTCTAACTTTTCTTTACTGATTATACCATTAATTACACGCTGGAAACAAGCAACTCCATTGGTAACTCCAAAAGGTATTCTGTTGAAATGATATAGTTTTCCACCTGCTTCGAAGCCAGTGTATTTTTTCTCATTTTCACAAATAGGGATTTGATGGTAAGCGCTTCGGAGGTCAACTGTACTAAATACCTCATACTTAGAAATTTTTGAAACAAGATCTTCAATATTTGGTAAAGGATAAGCATCAAGGTTAGTGAAACGGTTAATAGTTTGAGAGTAATCAATGACTAACCGTCTTTTGTGATTCTCATTTTTGGTAACCAGGACTTGAGCCCTCCAAGGAGAATTGCTCTCTTCAATTATTCCTTCAGACAACAATTTACCTATTTCATTTTCTATAAATCTTGTTTCATCAAGGGAGAACCTTCGAGATTTTATTTTTATTGGGTGACAATCTGGTGAAAGATTAGCAAATAGTTCAGGAGGTTCAACAATAGCTGTAGGCAAACTGCAAGGGCCCAAAGTTAGTGCTGGCTTAGAACCGCCAAATGATATGCATAGATTTGTATACTTAGAGAGAATATCATGCCCAATTATCATGTCTGCACAGAGATTAGGCAAAACTGAAACCTTAGTTTTTATATGTTGATGCCCTAAAAGCTCAATATCAACGAAGCAGTGCCCACAGATACGGGATTGTAAGTCTACAGATGCCATAGAAATCTGGCCTCCTCCAGGAACAACTAAAAACTTTGTTTTGTCAACGAATGTTTTATTTATGAATGTTTCAGAGCTACCAGTATCTATTAGAGCATCAGCGACAACATTGTTAATCTTAACTGTAACTACAGACTTTGATAAACATCGAGGAGCGGCAGCCAGCAGTCCCGACTCATGACTTTTCTCCATGGCTGAAAGATTAGAAGATTTACCTGATTTTTTACGACGACAAACAATTGAGAAATGACCTTTTATCCCACAGTTTCGACAATCAGCATCCCTGGCTGGACAGACATTTCGAGGATGTTTGGCTTTCCCACAGAAGAAGCATTTTATTGTCCCTGAGGCAGCCAGTGATGATTCCTTATAACATTCTTCTTGATTCATCTCTTGATTTAAAGTACTGTTCAAGAATTGATTTTGATGAGTTTGTTGGTAGATTTCTGAGTGTTTCTGAGCTGATTCTAGAGCTCTTGCTTGAGCAACGGCATCCTCTAATTTCAGAGTATTGTTCTCTAGTAGTCTTTGACGTATTTGAGGAGATAATAGCCCAGTGATGAATGAGTCTCTAATGTAATCGTTTTTACTTTCTTCTGCATTAACATTACGAAAATTACAATCTTTACTCAAAAGTTTCAGTTTTTGTAAGAATTGATCTACAGACTCCCCAGGTTGTTGCTTGGAAATAGCTAATATATGCCTTGAATAAACTTCATTTTGAGGTTTCACATAGAGGGTCTGTAAAACCTTCACAGCATCTCCATAGGTCTTTGCTTCTGAAATAAATTCATATACGTTGTGACTAATGTAATTTATGAGTAGTTTTAACTTTTCTTCGTCACTTACTTTATCAACAGAGGATACAAAATTTTCAAAAGTCCTCAACCAATGTTTGAATTCAAATGCTGCTTTGGTTGTATCAGGTAGACATTCAAATCTTTCTGGTCTTAACAGTTTATCCATTTCTTTCTCTAGTATTAAGTGATTGAATAGAATGGTTTATAGGAAGCCTATAGATACTGATTCTCAGACTAATTATGATAATATTTGCTTAATAAATTGTAATAAACCTTTAAAGAATAAAACTTAGGTTTTATTAAGCAAAACTGAATACAAGAATTAAACAGAATAAATAAACAAATCTGACTAAAACATTAAGAATGTCAGCTGACATTTTGTACAGTACTTGGAATATCACCACAGCCTGTACCTGTAATACTTTGCAACTGCTTGAATTTGAGCAACAGGTACACTAGTTTTCATTTAATAATTTGTTTTCTTCAGTTTTCTATGGATATTGTAGCAACAGTATGTGCTGATTAAGGGTGTTTTTCAGCAACCTCAGCAAGATTTTCAAAATGCTATGTCCAAGCATTGATCTTTTCTGTTGCAAATTTTATCTTTTCTTCCTCAAAGCCAATAAAGCCTCCTAAAAACCTGTTGCCATGATCAACTTCCATTCCTTCCATTTGTTCCATAACTTTTTGGGAATTTCAAATTTATGATTCCAAATTACTGTAGTTTTTTTTTTTTTTTGTTTTTTTTTTTTGCTTGAGGGTTGTATCCATATTTTGGACCTGGAGTGTGCTATCAACATAAGTGTAGTAAGTTTAAGTTGTAACATTTCAACACCTACTTCAAAGTAAGCCCACTCAAATTGCTAAACTTGCAGATTGACTTGTTATTGTAAGACTAACTTAGCCTAGTTAAAACTATATATAAACGTACAGTAGTAAAGATTTTAATAATCTGCTATAAATGTTTTCTGAAAGCTCATTAAAAAGCTTGAGTCAAGCCGAGTACCTTTTGAAATACTCACTTCAAAATACTCTACCCCTCGAGTACTTGGACATCTCTAATTCCCTAATATTAACCCTACCCCTTTGGGGAGCGAGCTGGCGTAGTGGTTAGAGCGCGGGTAGTAAAACAAAAAAACTTATGGAGGTAGTAAAACTATTTAGCTTGATAGCTAAAGATTGTGAACAGAACAATATAACAATTTATTTAAGTGTAAGTGAGTGATGTATGTAGAGTAATTGATTGCTTATTGTACGCGTACATACGTGAAAGCGAGCTGGTCTAGTGGTAAGAGCGCGGGACTTCGGTCCCAGAGGTCCCGGGTTCGATCCCCGCCAAGTCACCAATGGATTTTATCTAAGTGATAATGCCGCAACCCCTAGGTCTAGCCTGAAGTAATGTGAAAAACAATCCCAGGCTCGTGCCTAGCGTCCTTAGGACAAAAAAAAAAAAAAAAAAAAAAAAAAAATATTAACCCTACATCCCTAATTTTATTGAAGTTTCAGCTTTGATAAGTTAGGCCTAATAGCTTATTTCTATCTCTAATAGACTGTCCTACAAGCTACAGTGCTACAGGTTATTGTATATTTTATGTAAAGGAATACTACCATAGACAAAGAGAATAAATTTAGAGCGTCAGCTGTGCTGCGGTTAGCATAAGTTCTGGCGTACACCGCTAGGTTTGCCGTGTAGTTACAGCGTCTGCTGGTCGCGTACGGCTCCTGCGCTTCTCGCCTGCAGCGGTGTGCACCGTAACTACACGGTACACCTAGAGGTGGGCGCCGGAACCTTCCTTTGACGGTCTATATATATTCTTTTTGTCTATGATAATACCCAGTCTTGAACATTTTTAAATTCAAATCTAGACACCTAAGAAAAGAAAAGATTAAATCATCCCTAGCTTACCCAAGCCTCCTCGTCATCTTCTGAGCCTGATTCATCCGAAGAAGATGATTGTAGAAGTTCGTCTTTAACTGGGAAAAAATTTACTTATAACATGACAGCTCTATCAGCAACCATAATCATGACAGCAATAAGTTTTAACTTAATTTCAGTTTCTCATTTATTGTTCGGTGTAGGTCTAAGTGAGGTAGGCTATTCTAACATGTTTATTATAACTTAGAAATTACCACTTAAGTTAAGCTAAAAACTTAGTCATGTCTATGATAGTACCCAGTCTTGAACATTTTTAAATTCAAATCTAGACACCTAAGAAAAGAAAAGATTAAATCATCCCTAGCTTACCCAATCGCTACCCAATAGCTTATATATTCATATGCAATTTTAATGTAAAATTAGTGTAAACCCATTGGCAATAAAATAAATAAATGTCAATCAATAGGCTATAGTTTTTGGACAGCCACCTAAGTTATTTGTTTAATTGTAGACCTATGCTAGCCTATATTTATTACTGTTAAGTTCATGCCTAACTAAAGTTATGTGTTTTAACTTCACTAACGCTCCTTCAGCCAAAATCTCTAAGGGCATGAGGGTAGCATTGTAATGTCGAAATGGCCATAACGCAAGTAAACAGCTGTTGATTGAAAAAGTAAAGCCTAATTTCAGTGGAGTTGTCCACAGAACCTAGAGCATCCAGCTCTATTATGCTAGCAGGTACAGTTCCGCAGAAAACCTGGGATATATTATCAGATGAATATTGATACTTTCACCTGCGAAAGGGAACATTCATTAGGTCTACTAGCCTACTTATTGTGGATTTTTTTCGATATATCGAAATTTAAATTTTCGATCCGATATTAAAATATCAGCTGACAACTACGATTTATAAATATTGGGGTAGGCCTACAGTTTCTTAGCTCGGCTATGCTAATATCGATTGAAACTATCGATTCGATTAGTGAACCTTCATGCGAATTTTTCACCATCAGCAAGTTTGGTTGGTTAGGTTAGGTCATGATAGTTTAAATTTATAATAGATATATTTAACAGATATATATAACCCAACAACATACCAGCCTTCACAACATTCAAAACAATATCTCTCAACAAATTGGACAACCTTCTAGCCAAAATACCTTCAAAAAATTCAGCAGGTTTTGACGATATCTCCGGAAAAATTCTGAAACACTGCAAGGAAGCATTAAAAAAACCTCTTCTCCACCTTCTAAACACATCACTTCTTCAAGCAGAAATTCCTAAAAAAACTAAAAATTGCCAAGATATATCCGAAATATAAAAAAGGTGACGCACACGACCCTGGAAACTACAGGCCTATAAGCAACCTACCAACAATATCTAAACTCCTGGAACGCATTGTCTACAATCAACTAGTCCACCACCTTGAAACCTACAACTTAACCCTCCGAGTGTCACGCGTCATAAAAGTGACGCGTGACCCTACACAAAGTGTGTTGTGCGTCACAAACATCGTTTACGGCGAAGGCTCTATGACTGACTGAATCGGATTGAACTGGATCGAGTTAGGTATCGTTCTTTCCGTAATATTCTAAGCTTTCTCCAGAGGTCTGTCTCTAAGCGCTATTCATTTTAGTTCCGAAAATATTGTAGCAGACAGCTGACGTGCGTGTATTTGTAAACAGCTAGGTTCCCCCGGACCGATGACTGATGTGTTTTATTACGTTTATCATTGTTTTAGTGTTAAAAATCAAAAGTAGTGATATACGTGGTGCATTATAAGAAGATTTAAGTAGTTTTGAAGTGCTGGTTGATGATCCTGAAGAAGTAGGTAGTGATATTGATGTAAATTATCAGCCAGATTCCTAGCTATGGTTAGGCTATGCATTCTTAGCTAAACGCTATGTACTGAAATCCGTTTTTCGCTCATAACTTATTTATTTGATAACTTACCTCGCTATATGATTATATATTTGTAATCCTCATTAAATTTAGAACAAAGTGGCTATTTTCAAATATTTATAGGCCTATAATTTATACAATTTCATTGAGCGCGAACTTATTTTTTTTTTTTTAATTTTCGAAATTATATTTTTTTTTTACCTAAAAATTTTTTTTTTGAAAAAATGTTCCTTATGTTTTATATATAATATTGAAGCCCATGATTTTCCAAACAAAATGGTATATAGAACATTAGAATTAACATTGTTTTAAGCTTCTCAGATCCGTTTTAATAAAACCTTGCAAAGGGGCCAAAAATAGGTGGACATTAAGGCCTAAACTATGGACACTCGGAGGGTTAATTGCAGAACAACAGCATTGGTTTAGGAAAGGTAGAAGCACCAACACCGCTATTAGTCAACTTTGTCATGAAATTACAAAAATATGGGAAGACAAAAAATCTGCCTCAGGCCTATTTCTTGATATGCAAAAGGCCTTCGACACTATTAATTGGGAAATATTAATTAAAAAAATGACCTACTTTAATATAAAGGACAAGGCATTAGACTGGATCAAACACTACCTAACTGACAGATTTCAATTTGTTGTAGTCGAACAAATAAAAAACAATGCAATACTAAAGACAAGTTCTTCCTTAAAACAGTCCTCAAAAGGAGTTCCCCAAGGCTCAATACTTGGGCCTCTTCTCTTCCTACTTTACATCAACAGTTTCCCAGAACAACTTGAAGATCAACAAAGGTGTATACAATTTGCAGATGACACAACAATCTTAATCCCCCACATAAATCTTCTCAACAAAAACACAATAGTAAATTCAACCCTGGAAAAGGCAACATCAATCTGTCAATCAATAGACCTCAAGATTAACAAAAATAAAACAACACACATAAACTTCACTCCATCAAACAAAATAAGACAGGAAAACGACAATAATTGGAAAGATCTGGAAGTACCAACAGCTAACTCCACAAAATTTCTTGGAATCATTTTAGACAATCACCTGAATTGGCAAGAACATATCGAATTTCTATGTAAAAAGTTAAATTCCTCACTACATGTCATAAGAAGAATAAGAACACTGACAAATGAAGAAACTGCTTTCATAGCTTAAAATCACTCAATCTTTGCATCACACATAAGATACGGAATCACCGCATGGGGAGCAGCATCAGCAGCCAACATCAACAAAATTCTTGTCTTACAGAAAGAGGCTTTAAGATCAATACTGAGACTAGAGAACCCCCAGGAACACTGCAAGCCACATTTCCAAAAACACCATATCCTCACCATAATCTCAACCTACATCCTCGAAACAGTTATCCTAGCAAAAAACTCCTCACCACTTCTCCGCCAAAATCAACATACTCACTTCACCAGACATAGATCCGACATTGACCTACCGCAACACCGTCTTAAAAAATCTAGTAACACCCCACTACATACAGGGTCCCGTTTCTTCAACCTACTTCCAGATCACCTCAAATCCTTAAACAACAACAGAAAATTTGCCAATAGATTAAAACAATACCTACTTGACAGACCATATTACACCATTACTGAATTCATCGAAGAACACACCTTTCAACATCTAAGAACTCACATTGCCTAACACACAATTACACAAAACAACAATCACTCTACAGATAAGGAGTGAAGAAATTTGAAGAGATGAAGAAGATGACGACTCCCCTTTCCTTGGATAGTGGCGAGGACTTCGATTGGTAAATGGTAAATGGTAAAAATAACGATTAATAATCAATATTATGAATTCGATAGTTTCAATCGATACGGTATTAGCATAGCCCAGTTAAGAAACTGTACCCAAATATTGTTCAGTATCAACAAACAAACAATTAAATAAGTAACTTAACTTTACATAAGTTTTAAAAAATGAATCTGAACATGAAAATTGTCATTCGCCTATAGGGTCTGATGATGATTGGAGTGTCCAATTGAAATCGATCACCACTTAAGTTACCATCTTTTGTATATTTACCGTCTTGTGAGTAACAGTAGGCCTACAAGCGTTTAAATATATGTTTGAAGTGTTATAAGACGTAGGCCTATCTTCATTTACTTCTACTTCCCGTAGGTATATTTGGGCTTAGGCTAATACCTTCAAAAAAAAACTCCTGCCACTCTTTATTTCTTAGATTATAATAGGCATAGCCTAACTTATACAGGATTGTATACATACCGTAAGACTTCATTTGAGAGGTTAAATTCTAACCTCTGCTTGCCAAGGCTTTAAAGTATTTTAAAGATAAAATCAGGTTGAAATGTGACGCTATTATTTGAAATAAAAACAAAAACCGACTTTAGAGGTGTTCGTGATTTTAATTATAAAGACAGTAATAATAAGACTATTGTCCTAATAACAAGGTTAATGAAAAACTGTATGCTGTGTGTGAGTGAAGTTGTATAGATATTGGCATACTTCCACCATGGTATATAGGTTAGGTTCAGTCACAGTGAGTCAGTCGAGGTTAGGATTTTTAGGTTAAGTATAATTGTTTTTTTCGTAAAGCCAACGCACCACTGAGGCACGCGGGCACGCACATACAGACTGCACGACTGGTAGTAAGTTTTTTCTATGGTAGGCCATTGATTATTGAGCAAGTTCCTAATTACAGTATATTCAAAGGTTTTGGCATTTTGTTTACAACGGATTCACTTTTTACCATTTTTGGTCGGATCCTCTTCCTCCTCTTTATAAATTTAAAGTTAACACAGCTTGAATGTTGGAAACTTTAGAAACCCTTGCCGACAGCGGCAGTGATAGAGTTAACAATTTACCACGAACAGTTCGGCTATGCACGGTATGATGCGTTCTGCACGACGCGGTGATGGGCGGTGGCGGTCTGTTGGTAAGGTCTCATGGAAACTTTTATGCCTATTTCATATTTTCCGACGATGACGATGACGATACCTTTCTAATACGGTACCAAAGGAACAGGCATTATTTATCGAATCCAATATTGCCTAAGCCAGCTTCAGTGGTGTGAGGACAATCAACTAATCTAATCTCGAATGCCAACAAAACCACACTCCTTCAATTAAGCATTTCTCTACATCTACTCGCCATATGCAGTAGGCTGAGCATGGGTCATATTCCTGCTCAGAAGACTAAGTACTGTACTGACTTGTCTGAGGAATTCATTCGAGCCTCTTATTTTGCTTTTTCCCACTCCATCATTATTTACGGAACCAGAGTCTGGAGCCATTCTTCTGGTGTAAATAAAATTCTAGTGTTGCAAAAGGAGGCTGTCTGGGTGCTGAGTGGAGCCACAGCCACCTTTATAACTCCAGGCCACGGCCTTCGAAGTGGCAACGTCACAAGTGGTGTTGTAACAGCTGTTTTGTTTGGAAGCAGCTAATGGTATTTGTGTATTTTTTACGAAAGATTGGTTACTGGACTATGTTAATATTGACTCCGCTTAAAATGTACAGATACAGTTTTTAATTCATATTGTTTCGGTTTTCAAATCCGTATGTTTTATTTTCAATATTTAAATTTATGTTCATACATTTAAATCAATAAAGTGCGAATTAATGATCTGATGTCACCTGTCTGCCATGTTATCTTATGGGACGTCTGTCACTAAACAACACCACTTGCGACGTTGCCAATTCTACCAGGCCGCGGCCTGTAGTTAAGGGTAGCCGTGGTGGAGCCCAGTACCTGGAACACTGCCTTCCTCTGTTCCAACAAAACCACATCATGACTGTATATAATGTATATATCTTTAAATGTCTTTTAGAAATTAAGGCAAATAATGAAGTGCAACTTTTGAGAAACAACCAAGTACATAACTATGCCACAAGAAATAGTTTAAATGTTTTTGCGCATAGACACAGGATGAGCAAAAAATAAAATGCTTCCCTGTTTCAGGTTACAGATTTTTCAATCACCTACCAGTATCCATAAGGGACTTGCCTCTTTCAAGGTTCAAGGCAGTAATAAAGGACTGGTTGATAGAAACCCCTTTTTATGACCTGTCTGAATTTTTTTTAAGCAGGACTACCAGTTTTGTCATAGGTAATGCTTTTGCACTGCCTTTGCATGGCTATTTTTGCCAGTTTTTTGCATGGTTTTGCTTGTTTCCTTATTATTATATTTATATAACTTGCATTTATTTGTGAATAAAGAGATGGGCTATTTATTATTTATTTTGTAGTGTAAGTGACTTAGCCTATTGCTTTGCTTAATGACCTAATAAATCATTGAATAATTGAATATACCAGCAACACCAACCAAGCTTCGTTGTCAAGATGGATGTTGACGAAGTAGCTGCTGTCGCGCATTTGTCTCGAGGTACGTTATGCGGAAGCAAAAAGATACTGGGTGCATCCCATGTTAGCTGTCCTCACAAGCTGCCTTCTTCGCCCCTCTTCTGGAGTAATCTTCTGACAATAGATCACATAAAGAGGGTTTTCATTTAAAAGTCATTAAAAGTTTTAGTTTCAACTAATTGAGACATTATAAAAGAAGTTAAGCACACACCACACAAAAGACATAAGATATTGCCGTTTGCTTGATCTAGGACTACCTCCGTTAGCTTGATCTAGGACCTACTGGTTAGGTCAGAGTTAAGTTGGAGGCAGTGCGTGTAGAACCATCACTATGTGTGATATTATGTGTATAATTTTTGGCTGCAACGACCGGAGATTCTGGCCCGACTAGTCCTTGGAGTTTGGTCGACCAGCCGACCAGTGTACATGCATTGTAAAACTGACCGTATAAAACCGATCGGAGTCGTGGTCGGGCTAGTGCGCGCCGGCCCTATTCTGACCTAATGTTGTACCTGGCTTGGGTGTGAACACCAAAGGACTCAGTTCTTATCCAAAAAAAGTCTCTCCGAATTGAGGTTTCCCCTCACGTCACCAAACAGGCAAATAAGTCTTCAGATCACATACAGTTCTCAGTTTCTCGTCCATTTACAATTTTAGAAACCCTATCATTCATTAAGAAAAACCGATCATCTAATAGTTCACCAAGCTTACAAATATATCCTTTTCGCACAGTTTCAACCATTCAGTATCACGGAACTCTACCACATTCTTATGAAAAAAAATCCATTTCTTCGTAATGTTAAAAGCAGCCAGACAAACATTTTCAACCGTCAATTTAAGTCAACATATGTGGCAGGAGACTAATAATACGTCCAGCGCTTCTTAGTCTAGAGTTTAGTGCAAATATGGCGCTCAAAGGACTGAACAAACACAGTCAAACACATTAATGGCAACCCTCCATCCACTCGCCGCTTGCAGAGGTAAATATATAACATCCACCAACTTTTAATCAAAGTGCAAAGTTGAACTTCCGTTTCTACCTCACCAAAGAAATATAAACCGGTTAATAATTTTATTTTCTCTACGATGTTCATATTTTATCAAATGTTTTTATTTTGCTTTAGGCGTAATTTATTTTACACATAGACTATGAGATAGTAAATGCGTTAGTTTAAATTTAAGTTGAAATCTGCTTCAATATTGTCGGGCTGCACCAATCTTACGTATGATCTTACGTGACCTTGGAACCGAAGCGTTGATTTTTTTTTTAATTTGCACATAGGTGGCATCCCCATCTCAAATGATAATGGTACATAATTATAATAATGAAAATAGAAAATAATAATTATGTTTCTTACACAGAGCATAGAATAAAAACATTTATTCTATGCTGTATGGTTTCTTGTTGTGTAGTCCTAGAACAACTCTGTTTATTTATTGTAAAGGGTAGTGACTTTTAGAGAAAATGTTTTAGACCTTCCGACTCGATTTGTACAGAAGCTCTGAAATTTATTTTCTTTATTTTTTTTGTTAGTGCTAAAGCTGTTTAGTTGCTAACTCATGCTTTCCAATTTTTATTTTATTTTTTTTATGTCATCATATTTACTTATTGTTTAATGTAAAACAGGTAAATAAAACTGTGTAAAAAAATAAGTTCTTCTAAAATGTTTTGGTTTGACGTTCAATAAATTTTACAATGTGGGTTTTACTTTATTGCCATTACACGAGAGAACAAGCAGATAAGTTTGTATGGATTAAACTAAACACCCTTCTTTACATTTATCAGCCATCAAATAAGTTGAAAACTATTTGAAGGAATTTCTTAGACGAGTTTAAGTGAGGTGACGTAGACCCTATTCTCTTTTTTTACAAGTTTTATTTGTTCTCACGCACGCACGATGTGTTTCCCTTCTCCATTACTACATATGATCTCTGATTTTCCGTATAACATAAGAGGAAAGGGCACAATGTAAAATTAACTTTATAATAAGCAAGAAACATTCAATAGAAACCAAACATGAAACGCAAAAATTAATACAAATACGCTTCATTGCTATAGGATGAAGTTTACTTGCAGTGTCTTAATACTAAATCATATAGTATTACTTACTGTAATAATAAAACAGTTTACGCCATACTACTAAATCTGTACAAATCCTAATTACCACCAACTAAAGGACTAAAAATCACTAATCAATAAATCTAGGTTATGTTTTTGTTTATAACCACTCATTGCCACCCAAATACAGTAGTACGTAATGAAACCCCATTTGATTAAGATGGCGACAAACAACTGTTTTCTGGACTAAATCCTTGCGTAGAAAGTTCGTCAAAATAGTGTAGGGGACGTAAAAACGTTTTTAGATCTTAGGGAGTTAAAATCAGCTGTTGTCAACTCAGTTGTAAATTTCAAATGTAAACAATCTTATGTATCGAAAGTATTAAGTATGTATTGATTGACTGATTGTATAATGGATTTTATCTTATTATTGCCTTATTGTAACTAGTTTGACATAACGATAGTACAATATACATAAACACTAAACAGCTGCTTATTTACATTAGCAGAATTAAAAACAAGCTGGAAGTTGTTTTGAGAGGTTATCTTTACACGAAAAGTATTTTAGTTTTCTAGCTTAGTTTGTTAATTAATGATAAAATATGATAAAAAATATGGTTCATCACACGGGCAAAAAGTGTCTTTTCAACCCACGCTCATTTTCCAAACTCGGCTTCACCTTGATCGTAAAACATGGGCTAGGGTCGAAAAGAGTCGCTTTATGCCCTAGTGATGAAAAATATTCCATAAAAAATACTACACAAAACTAAAAATAAAAAAATAAATAAAATGTACTAGCGTCTGAAGAAAACTCAGTTCAATACTGTACTTTAAAGGAGAGGGTGTTAAGTTGTTGAATGGGGTATATGCTTTCAATTTTAGAAAAACAAATCAAAATCATAATATTTATGATTATATATTTTTATGACATAGCTAATGCAATTTATTGTTAACTTTGGTCCAATAAGATGATTTGATTTGAATTATTTCGAAGCTTTTTGACTTCTATTCTATTTTGATACTACAGTGCATAGTTCCTATTCACCACTGTATATTTTTTGTATTAAAATAATCGAATGTTTTCCCAATGCCTCTTCTTGCGATCA